TATCTTCCAAAGAATTAACGATGCATCTGCTATGAGAAATAAATCTTCGAAGTCTGACAGTAATTCAAATATTAAATCTCCACAAAACATGAGTGAAGAAGTTGTTAATTCTGTGGAAGAAGCAACTCAAGAAAGGTTAACTTTAGAAAATTTAGAAAAAATTAATGATGATACCAATGACAATGATCGTGTCAATGAGGCTAATAAGGCCACAGAAAAAGACGAAGACTTGGTAGTTAAAGATGCCTTTTTAATTTTCAGAGCAATGTGTAAACTTTCGGTAAAACCGTTAGAATCAGATGCATTGGATATGAGGTCACATTCAGTTAGATCAAAATTGCTATCTTTGCATATTATTCATACTGTACTCAAGGAGCATATTGAAATATTTTTAAGTCATGATGTGGTTATCTTATCTTCTCATTCTAATGAACAGACAAGATTAATCAATGCGGTAAGGCAATATGTTTGTTTATCGTTATCAAGAAATGCCGCGTCGTCACTTGCTCCAGTTTTTGAACTCTCATTGGAGATTTTCTGGTTGATAATTTCCAACTTACGTTCTGAATTCAAGAGGGAAATTCCTGTGTTTTGGGATGAAATTTATTTCCCGGTAGCCGAAATGAAGACATCAACACCACATCAAAAACGGTATTTACTTTCTATCATTGAGAAGTTATGCAATGACTCTAGATGTATTATAGAATTTTATTTGAATTATGATTGTGATAGTTCTATGCCTAATGTGTGTGAAAAAGTGATTGACTACTTAACCAAACTCTCCTTAATACGAATTGAAGTAACTCCACAACAAAAGCAGGCATATATTAACAATAGAAGAAAAGGAATATCGGTATATGATATTAGTAAGATTGCCAATTTGACGAGCAGTACTATGGCTTCTAAACCACCTGAACCAGAAGTATACAATAGTTTCCCATTAGAGTATGCATTAAAGATGACTTCTATTAGCTGTTCTGTCGCATTTTTACGTTCTTTATACTCCTGGGCCCAAAAGGGAATTCGTAATAATACAAAATTAGGAAATGGTACCATGAACCAAAATGGATCACACTTGTCTCTTAATATGGAGAAAACAAGAAGTGGTGGTGATTCAAGTGTTTCTACTATGAACAATTCACGGAACGCTTCTTTTGTTAATGGTTCTAATACTGATGCATTCAGCGAATCTGATGACCCGGAACAATTTGAAAATTTGAAACAACGTAAAAAAGCTTTCTTAGAAGGTGTAAAACAATTTAACCAAAAAGCAAAGAAAGGCCTTAAATATTTCATGGAACAGAATTTTCTTGCTTCTGATGGTCCCAAAGATATAGCGATATTTTTGCTTGAGACAGATGGTTTAGACAAGGCAGCAATAGGAGAATATTTGGGTGAGGGTGATGAAAAGAATGTCGCCATAATGCATGCTTTCGTGGATCAAATGGATTTTACTAATAGTGGGTTCGTGGATTCAATGAGAAGATTTTTGCAATCATTTAGATTACCAGGTGAGGCACAAAAAATTGATAGATTTATGTTAAAATTTGCTGAAAGATATCTTTTAGGGAATCCTACAGTATTTTCAAATGCAGATGCAGCTTATGTGTTAGCTTACTCTGTTATTTTGCTTAATACGGATTTACATTCACCTCAAATTAAAGTTAGAATGACTCTAGATAATTTTATTATGAACAATGCTGGTATTGATGATGGTAAAGACTTACCACGTGAAATGTTAGAGAGAATTTATGATGAAATTCAAGCGAATGAGATAAAATTACAATCCGAGCAGCATGCAGCACTATTAGCTGGTGATATCAATATGCCTCAGTCTACACCTTCTATGGGATTCTTTGGAGGCCGTGATTTAAATCGTGAAGCTTACATTCATGCGTCAAAGGAAATGTCTACTAAAACTGAAAAGTTAGTCAGAAATTTAGGCAAAAGGTTAAAATCTGATGATTCTAATGGAGGTGTCTTCTATGCAGCTTCTCATGTGCATCACGTCAAATCAATTTTTGATACATTATGGATGTCTATCCTAGCTGGGTTAACACCACCTTTCAAAGAATATGATGAAGAATACATCACCAAAATGAGTTTAGAAGGAATTAAATTGTCTATTCGTATTGCTTGCATGTTTGATTTGGATTATGCCAGAACTTCATTTATTGGTGCTTTGGTTCAATTTCAAAATTTGAACAACTTTCAAGAGATGAAAACAAAGAATGTGGATGCAATTTATATCATGCTTGATTTAGCTGTATCTGAAAGTAATAGCTTAAAGTCGTCATGGATTCAAGTATTAACTTCTATTTCACAATTGGAGAGGTTGCAGTTGATTGCACAAGGTGTTGATCAAGATTCTATTCCTGATGTTTCCATTGCAAAATTGGTGAATAGGTCTTCGATTGATAGTACTGCTGCGAGCGCTGGTTTCTTCAGTCTGTTTACTTCTTCAACCACTGCCTCGCAAACTGCATCAAATAAATTCCATAACCAACATTTAAATCAGGATGTTGCTCAGTTATTGACAAAAACTGAACTTGAAGTTGCTATGGATAAAGTTTTCACGAATAGTGCTAATTTATCCGGGGAGAGTATTGTTGAATTCGTAAAAGCCTTATCTAAAGTTTCTTCTGAAGAAATTGAGTCTTCAGGCCAAAGTACAAATCCTAGAATGTTTTCCTTGCAAAAGGTGGTTGACATTTGTTACTACAATATGAGTCGTATTCGTCTTGAGTGGTCTCAATTATGGTCTATAATGGGCGAAATTTTCAACAAAGTAGGCTGTCATAGTAACCTGGCTGTCGTATTCTTTGCGTTGGATTCATTAAGACAATTATCAATGAGATTTTTAGAAATAGATGAATTATCGCATTTTAAATTCCAAAAAGAGTTTTTGAAACCGTTTGAACATATCATTCGTTACAATGAATCGTTGGAGATTAAAGATATGGTGTTAGAGTGTATAAATAACATGATTTTAGCTAAAGCAAACAAGATTAAATCAGGCTGGAAAACCATATTTGGGGTTTTGACAGCTGCGGCTAGGGAGAACAAGGAATCTTTAGTCTTTAAAAGTTTTAAGATGGCTAATTGGATTAATAAAGAGTATATCCATGAGGTCCGCACTCAAGAATCATTCGCTGATCTTGTTGTTTGTTTCACTGAATTAGCAAAGAATGAGCGTTTCCAAAAGGTTAGTTTGTTGGCATTAGATGTGTTACTGAAATTAATTACACAAATTGCTGGATTCAGCTTCAAAACTACAGGCAATGAAACAGAAACATTGGCTGTGGATAAGGATGACGTCGATCAGCAATCGATAGTTAAGAATGACGATCTTGTTAAACTATGGTTTCCTGTTTTATTTGGTTTCCATGACATCATTATGACCGGTGGAGAATTAGAAGTTAGATCTAGAGCATTAAATTCTTTATTCGATATTTTGTTGAATTATGGAGAGTATTTTGAATACGATTTCTGGGACCTTATTTGCCACCAATTATTATTCCCTATCTTTAGTGTTTTAAGTAATCATTGGGAGTTGCATAATATTGATAATAATGATAAATTATCGGTATGGTTGTCTACCACATTAATCCAAGCGTTGCGTAACATGATTACATTGTTTACTCATTATTTCGATGCATTAAGCAGAATGTTAGGTGGCTATTTGAATCTACTTACATCGTGTATTTGTCAGGAGAATGATACCATTGCTAGAATTGGTAGATCATGTTTGCACACGTTGTTAATAGATAATGCAGGCAAATTCAATAGCGAGCAATGGGATAAAATCGCCCACTCATTTTCTGATTTGTTTGATTTAACCACTGCTAAGGAATTATTTTCATTGGATCCATTACGTTCTAAAGACCAACACTCACCAGGAGAAGAAGAGTACGGAATCGAAGAATTCGGCGATGAAAATAATACCGACTCGATAAGAAGTACGTCGTCGCATATTTTCGACGATACTGAAGCAAGATTGCGTAAGTCCAAGGAAAAGTCTTCGATTGTGGTGAAGTGTGTGTTGCAATTGTTGATGATTGAAACTTTATCCGAGTTATTTGAAAATGACATGTTTTATGAATCTGTTCCCCATGACTACTCGGTAAAGTTAGCAGCATTGTTACATGACAGCTATGAGTTTGCCAGAAAGTTCAACGATGATTACGATTTGAGAGTCAGGCTATGGAATGCTGGTGTTATCGAAAGACTTCCGAATCTTTTGAAACAAGAGTCGAGTTCCGCCGCCGTTTTCATCAATATCATGTTCAGAATGTACTGTGACGACGACAAGACCAATAACCATTCTAAAAAGTCTATCATGGACTCCGTCATTCCGTTATGCAATGACATAACCGAGAGATACTCCGAATTCGACGAAACTAACCAACTGAGGAACATTACCACCTGGAAACCAGTCATCATCGAAATCTTCCAGGGTTTTGTCGAGCTCGACGAAGATGACTTCCTCGAATACACTCCGTTTATGTACCAGTTGTCTTTAAAGCTTTTTTCAAAGAACATGACTCCAGACTTGAGAGCTGCAGTCAGAATATTCTTTGCCAGAGTTGGTGATACCTTCATTACTACAAAGAACAAGTAATGTACATAGATCTACAATTGACCTTATAAGTTCATTTAATATTGCACCAACTTTACTATTTCTTCTCAGAATCTATCTACATTTTCTCGTTTTCAATTGATATTTCCAAAGTTCCATACTGTATGTCTATCGTCTATATAACTACTTAGTTTATTGTAATATACTGCTTTTTACCTACCTTAACTACTATATATACTGTAATTTACACACAATAGGATATTACTAGAACAACTACTGAGTAAGACCAAGTTACACAAAAGTTCACAAAAGTCGACGTTGAGAATTGGACGGTCAGCTAAAATTTTTCAACCTTTTTCTTTAAAGCAATTTTTAAAATACAAGTAATACAGTTATAAGATAAGCTAGACTTTGATTTAAGATGTCTTTTGAGAATAAAGTAAGTAATTGTGATCGATAGTGAGGGATTTGTTGTCGAAATAATTTCAATTGTCAATCAATCGTACGATAAGGAACCAGATATCAAAAGGAACATAAAGCCACACAAAAGGATGTAGATAGGTCAAATTGAAGATTATGAGTTACCGCCAGGGTTATAAATGTAGACAATTATGAAGAGAACAAGTTTAATGAGAGAACAAGGCAAGGGACAACGAATTGAACATGAGATTATGAAACGACATGGGGAACGATACAATTGAGGATACTAACATAAAATTAGAACTTATACCATTTATTAGGTAACGATGTTGAAGATGATTCAACTCCAAAGCTTCCAATTAGAGAGGTAGTTAAGAACACTACCTCATCCAAGAAGTCTGATGTTCCACCACCATCAGCCGACCCAGCTAAGGCTAAGAAGAAGGCCAAGGCTACCGGTAACGAAGGTGCTTTCAAGACCAAACCAGATAACAAGAACGTTTCAGCTCCATCCTCTACTCCATCTAAACACTACAAGAAGCCATTTGACCGTCACTCCAGATCTAGCAAGTCTGACGGTAAGAGATTCAAGGACGGTGAAAAGAGAGAATTTGAAGCTGAAGTTGAAGCTGTCTCCGATGCCGTCGAAGAACTTGAAACCGGTGATGCCACCGCTGTCAATGAAGTTGAGGCTGCTCCAAAGCAATCCTTGTCTGACTACTTTGCTGATTTACAAGCCAAACAACAAGAATTAGATGGTAAGAAGAACCTTAGACCAGCTAACGCTGGTGCCGAAGACAAATGGTCTTCTGCTGAAAAGATCGAAAAGGATCAAGAAGCTTACTTTGCCCCATCTGTTGCCAAGAAGGCTAAGGCCAAGGCCGCTAAGGAAAAGAAGTTCTTAGATTTCGAAGCTTCTTTTGCTGACCAAACCTCCAACTCCAGACCATCTGAATCTAGAAGAGGTGGTAGCGAAAGAGGTGGCTTCAACAAGAGAGGTGGAAAGAGAGGTGGTGAAAGAGGTGGCTTCAACGGTAGAAAGCCAGCTCCTTCTTCTACTTCTTCTTCTGCTAAGAAGCCAGCTGTCAATGACAAGAACTTCCCATCATTGTAAACGGATTAGATTTATTAATGATAAATGCCAGCTAATGGTTTAGTTTATGAACGAAACGAAGCTTTCGATCTCTAGTCTTTAAAGTAAACACTAATGCTTTATAATCTATATATGTATTTCTTATATATATATAGCAAATTTTTGTTGTCACTGTTATTTTTTTCTTCAGTTCAACATGAATATATCTTTTGAAGAATTCGACACCCTATTCCGTAGAATCGATCACTGCTGCAACATTGTACTGTTCCCCCGGAATCACGAGTAACTCCCGGTCCTTGTAGTTCACCTTGATGTATTTCATCAGACCGTCAAAACTGATTGCACTCTTTACTAATCCGCTTGCAACCTCAATTATTTGCTGAGCATCGTTCTTGGACACATCTTGTGGATTCTCCTGGTCCCCAAGATCAATGGCCCCCACTAACTGGCCTGCGCTTCCAAACACCGTCAACGTCCCAACACGGTTGGGTGTACTGCCAACAGAATAGGCCGTCAAAGATTCTACAAGCATTGCCACTGTCGAATTGGGTAACCTGGGTGCTGTATCCATGATGCTATTCCGATATATTTGCAACGTCTATCACTTGATTTCGTCAATTGTATCCCAAATACCTCTGATGAGATACTAAATATTTCAGTTCGGACTTTACAGTGGTTGATCGCACTATCACCAAATTTATTACCGAGATGAAATTCACACCACAAATGTCTCTACAACTCAATTTCTCTACAAGTGATAGCCACTGGCCCAACCTTCTCATGGTCGGTCGTAAAGCCGTTTTTCAGGACCATACCACCTATCTCTAGAAGGAATATCGAAAGTAGTCGTGCCCGATTCCACCTTTAGTCATATGACTTATGACCCAAAACTGAAATAAAATAAAATCACCGATTTCTGGTGCAGGGCCTGTTGTTCCAGGTGTACGGATGTATATTCCGAGATCGGCGTGACCCGTTTTTCGTCTTTTCGGATTTATTCCCGTATGTCTACTGCTTATGTCAGCACTCGTCCTTATTTGCGACGCAACTGCGGTTTCAGGCTCTTCCTAAACGGGCTTCTACCATAGAGTTTCACATACTCCCTCCTATCTTCCAGCGGGAGTGACCTTCTGTACCCAGTGCTGCGTGTCACTAAACGCCCTAAACAGAAGCGTTTCTACGAGTGCGTAGTGCCACTTTGGGAGTCTTAAAAATAGTCCGCGATAGGTGTGCCACCCCTCCACAAAACGGATGGGTTTTTGGCCAACACTATCACGTAAGACAGCCTACATCATGCAATTACCGTATTCTCTGGGTTCAAGTATTATATGACTGTTTGAGAATGCGTGGCACAATCTACAATATCCTGGATTGTATATAAGCAGGATAAGGCCCTATATAAGATTTAAACTTAGAAATTACCAAAAGTGTGGAACTTTTATTCTTTATAAGTATTATATCATCAATTTTAGTGCGCGTACGAAACTCGAACCCGCGGATACCCCGAATTAGCTGAATAATTGGTTAGTACACGTGTTTTCTAACTTGCTAGTGTTAGTCATTTTTCAGCGGTACTAGTATCAGGAAAGATAGGCAAAAGAGTATATATACCACAGTTTGACATTAAAACAGATATAGGTGCTAGAATCAGGTATTTTGGTAGCAGGATAATAAACAGAACGATATGACTATGGCGGAAAATACTCCGAAACCATCAGAAAATGACAATAAACACGGTGGTGACAAGGCCGTAGATAAGAGCCACGATAAACATGAAGGAGAAAAATGGGAATCTACGTCGGCAGAGATGTCGACATCGCCTTCTAAACCTGACGGAACGAACTCGAAGAAGCATTTGTTGTCGACGTCGTCTCGTGAGGGAATACAAGTAGCGTCAAAGATTACTCCGACACGGTTGGCGAATTTGTTGATACGGAAGGGACCGCTTCCAATTAGACATATAACGAGTCAATTATCGATAGAGGTGCATGGTTTTGAAATGCTCTCTTTATCGAAGCAGCGGAGGTTGATTATGGCTGCAATGGAACAGGTGGACCCTGAAAATAACGTTGTTTTTGAGAAAATCGGGTGGGGTCAATGGGCGGTACGGAAGGTGGACAGTGATTATATTGTGACTGAGGGAACAGAGAAATTAGAGGAAGAGGGAGAGAAGAAGCAGATCAATGTGCACGAGTTGCGAAACCAGACTGGTTTGAAGCTAGGGTGGTCGAAGAAGCAGCAAGAAGATAAGATGAGAAGAGAGTCGATCACCAATCGACAGGCAAATTTGCACAACTTGAAGTTACCCAATGAACAAATGGGAGATATGTCGGCCGCAATTGAGCTGGACTCGGAGAGTGATTATGCATTATCTGAAATTGATGACGATGCGGATATAGATGTGGACGACGATAGTGACGACAACGAGGATGATGACGACGAGCTTTTCACGTTCGATCAAGACGACGATTCAAAATACAAGACATTCAAACATACAAAGTCGCCCCCAATTAAGTTTGCCAATAGGGTGCCCTTGAAATTCAGTCCACCTCCGGGTGGTGCGTCGCGTAGAAAGTCTTCGTCTTCCAACAACGCTTCTATTTCGAAGCACACTCAATCTTATCCGCATGGTCATAGAAATATATTCAATAGATCCAGATTAAACTCGATAGAAAATTTTGACAATTACATTCTTTCGTCTGCAAAAAACTCGAATGTTTCCATCAACTCCCCTCCGCCACCGGTTACAACTACTATTTCGAGTCTGCCACTCGCGTCGTGGAATTCGAGCTACATCCAAAATAACGTTACCACTTCTCCAGAAGGCATTGATAGTATTGCAACCGCGATGACCGGTGGTAGAAAGTCGTCCTTCAACGAGTCGCATCTTAGATCTACGCTTTCATCTTCGCTCCCAAGAAATTCACCTCACACAAACTCACACTTCCATTCCCAATCGAATTTACACCCTAGCAGTGCAGCTCAGTCCCCGCCTACAAATTCAGGTTCTGGTAAGCCCGTAGCCAACCGACGCCAAAAACAAAAGGAAAATATAAGTGACACTGACGAAGAAGACTGGGCAACTATTGGAGCTGAATCTTTACGCAAAAGTCACCAAAAGAAAAAAAATGATCCGGAATCAATTGAAAATGGCCACAAATCTACAGACAAGGATCAAGCTGATGAAAGAGCTGCCGCTTTCGCATTGGTTGATCTAATGTCTGTTTAATTCTACATGAACCATTCTACTACAGAGTAGAAAATATCTTCGAAATATTTATTCCTCTTTAAATTACAGTATATTGAATATTTTTTAATAAACATTACAATTAATTACCCCGTTAACAATTGCAACGACTTCTCTCGATCTCTTCGGATCTGTTGAAATCTCGATTTTGCAATTGCAATGATTTTGTCCTTTTCTAGTGGATTTCCTAATTAGGGTAAATTATAACGCGTACGAAATTTTTCATGCAAATTATATATCTACATATTTTAGTTCATCCTTCTTTCTTCATCAATTCCTGTAGATATAGTCAAAATCATTGAACATGTCTACTACATCGACGGTATTACCATCTATTCAATTGAATATTAACTATGGAGAAATCAAGAACTCAATAAAAGATTTTTTGACACATTTCAAAACATCGAGCGATATCGAATTCGATCCAGAGGACGACAATTTAACCAGTGGAGGACCTAAATATATGCATTTATTGCAGAAAGTGGCCAATAGGGAAATAACTACATTGTACATTGAATTAGATGACTTGAAGTCATACCAGGAAAATCAATATGTGCAATCACAATCGCAATCAGTCATTTCGCCCAGTTCTTTGATTAACCAAATCACCAAGAATACGTATAGATTTATCGAAATGTTCAGTACTGTTGTGGATGAGTTAATGCCAGAACCAACGAAGGACATTTCGTACAAAGATGATGTGTTGGATGTTATCTTACATCAAAGAAAATTGAGAAATTTAAGGTTACAGCAGGAAAACCATGAAGAGTTCAATAATTTGAGAGATAATTTCGACGATAATAACGAAAACCAACATATGACCCAAGAGGATCAGCAAGCGGACAATATGTTTCCGTCAAAGTTAACTCGTCGTTACTACTTATACTTCAAGCCTTTGACTGATTCGTTCAGAGGTACTGGGAAACCTCTTGCCGTGAGAGAGGTCAAAGGTGCCCACGTTGGTCAATTTATTACGGTCAGGGGTATTGTCACTAGAGTCAGTGATGTTAAACCTTCCGTTTTGGTTAATGCTTATACTTGTGACAAATGCGGTTTCGAAATTTTCCAAGAAGTTTCATCTAAGGTTTTCACACCTTTAAGTGAGTGTACTTCGACCACCTGTAAGACCGATAACAATAAGGGTCAATTATTCATGTCCACCAGAGCTTCTAAGTTCTCGTCTTTCCAAGAAGTGAAGATTCAAGAAATGTCAAATCAGGTGCCAGTTGGACATATTCCAAGGTCCATGACTATACATGTTAATGGAGATTTGGTAAGGTCTTTGAACCCAGGTGATGTGGCTGATATTTCTGGTGTATTTATGCCATCACCTTACACGGGATTTAGAGCATTGAAAGCAGGTTTGTTAACTGAAACTTATTTGGAAGCCCAGTACGTCAATCAACACAAGAAACAATATGAATCATTAGAGATTACACCAGAAATTAAAGCCGAAATTCAAGATTTATTCAATCAAGGTGGCGTATACAATAGATTAGCAAAGTCAATTGCACCAGAAATTTATGGTCATTTAGATATTAAAAAAATCTTATTGTTATTATTATGCGGTGGTGTCACTAAAGAGATTGGTGATGGTTTGAAAATTCGTGGTGATATAAATGTGTGTCTTATGGGTGATCCTGGGGTAGCTAAATCACAATTGTTGAAGGCAATCGGTAAAATTGCTCCAAGATCAGTCTATACAACTGGTAGAGGTTCTTCTGGTGTTGGGTTAACAGCAGCTGTTATGAGAGATCCAATCACGGATGAAATGGTATTAGAAGGCGGTGCGTTAGTTTTGGCAGATAACGGTATTTGTTGTATTGATGAATTTGATAAAATGGACGAATCAGATAGAACTGCAATTCATGAAGTTATGGAACAGCAAACCATTTCTATCTCGAAGGCCGGTATTACTACGTCTTTAAATGCAAGAACTTCAATCTTAGCGGCCGCTAATCCTTTGTACGGTAGATACAACCCAAGACTATCGCCTCATGAGAATATTAACTTGCCAGCAGCTTTGTTATCTAGATTTGATATTATGTTTTTGATTTTAGATCAACCTTCAAGAGAAACTGACGAAAAATTAGCCCACCACGTCGCCTATGTTCATATGCATAACAAACAACCAGAAATGGATTTTGAACCTATAGATTCGTCAACAATTAGACAGTATATATCTATTGCTAGAACTTATAGACCAACTGTTCCTAAAGAAGTTGGTGACTATGTGGTACAATCATACATCAATATGAGAAAAGAATCTCATAGGAATGAAGGATCAGTGAAGAAATTTTCCCATATCACTCCAAGAACCTTGTTAGGTATCTTGAGAATGTCACAAGCATTGGCAAGAATTAGATTTGACAATGTTGTTACCAATGAAGATGTTGATGAGGCATTGAGATTGCTTCAAACGTCGAAATCGTCATTATACACAAATGATGATCAAATCAGAGAAGACGAATCTTCAACTTCTAAGATTTATCAAATCATTAGAAATATTGCTATTGGAGACGGTTCCAGATTATCTCATACTTTACCATTGCAAGAGTTGAGACAAAGAGTTATTGCAAAGGGTTATACTGCACAGCAGTTTGATGATTGTATATTAGAATATGATCATATTGGTGTCTGGCAAAAAATTGACAACGGCGAGACCTTGATGTTCATTGGTGGTGGTGAAGATGAAGACGATGAAATGGAATATTAGTATTTGTTCTGTTATGATGTTCTCTCCTAATCTGTAAATTATTCTAATTCTAATTCTGTGTCATTCCCTTCAGGTTTTGTAATTATATTTGTAAGATAATAATTCAATATATATTTAATAAATTCAATTAATGAAAGTTCTGTTAGACCTATTTTCAAAGTATATAGTATTTTCAGCCATGTGTTCCAGAGTGCGATATGAATTTCAGCCAAATACATAGCAATATAATTGATATATTGTTTTATAGGTAAGAATGAATCAAGATGCCCCAATAATTGACAATCCCTTACTACGGAATAGAAGCCGTTCTTATGATCATCGAAATACAAGGAATCAATCGAATACTTCTAGACAAACATCAAATAGGAAAGAAGATCCACCGTCAGAAGATCCGTCAGAAGATCCGTCAGAAGATATTACTAACTTCAGTACACCAGAACCACTACACTCTGTCAATGACATAGATTCAAACAGAAACCAAGATATCGAAAATGACGAAAAGCGGCCCGATCCAATTGATAATCCATATTTGAAGTATGCTAACTATACGTCATTAATGTTGGAAAACAAAGGTTCCGTAGCCAGAGATCATGTAAGTAAATTATGCTTTAATTACCCGTAAATTCGATAAATACTGACAAACAAATATAGCTAGCAAATGAAAGAACCTTTTTGGCTTGGACAAGAACCGCTCTGGCATTCATTTTGGTTGGTGTTGGTTTCACTCAATTCTATCGTCTTGAGCAAAGGACTGCTGCTGCTGCTGCGAATGATATGAGATTCGAAATTCCTGAAGATCGAATACATGGAACGTTTAAACAACTAGGTAAACCATTGGGTACATTAAGTTTTGCACTAGCTGCTATAACGTTACTTTTTGGTGTTTACAGATATTATCAAGTGCAGATGATGCTAACAAGAGAATTTTATCCTGCCACAAGAATAACAGTCATTGTATTACTAATAATTAATCTTGTCATACTCATATTACTCTTGATTTTAAACATAAAGGTAACTCAGTAGTATATATTGGGGATATTAGTCCTATCACTTTCGAGAAGAAATAACTCACCATCGATAATTTTGCATACAAACTTATTGTTTTTAGACAGGTTTCAGTCAAACTGGGGACATATTTGTTCTAAATATAAAATTCAGTTACATTCAAGCTAATTATTGGTTATCATAGATATTTATGAGTTATACAACCTTGCATCATCTCGTTGAGTACATGTGGTCATTCTGGAATTAGAGGTAGTAAATACAGATTGAAATCATTGAGACGCCATATAAAAAGAGGTCTAAATGATCAGGCTACTAAGAAGACTCTGAAATAAAGTATACCGGAGTAGTAAATATAGGTCAAATCGACCTACAATTAGGTCATAGGATTATATCAGAGATGAACGACTTGCAATGTATGTTTTCAAGAGACATATAGTAATATATAGTAGAAGTTTGAATTATCAGTATGTTTACAAGCCTATCAAAACTAAACTACACTATCGGGTGGCTAAACAATCTTTATTATGGTATATTTAATTCAGTAATCAGTACTATTAGTTTATGTAGTTACGGTTTTGGCACACATGCAATTTCAGCGCGTAGTTAAATTATCAACACATAATACTTTAGATGGGTATCAAAATAAGCCATAATTAATATAATTTATCACAAATAACATGTCAGACTACTCATCTCAAACAGTTGTTCAATTAAAAGAATTGCTAACTTCAAAAAGTTTGCCAACAGACGGTAAAAAGGCTGATTTGGTTCAACGTTTAGTTGACAACGATGCGCAATCTAGTGGACCACAACCGGAAGAAACACAACAAAATGAAACTACTGCTACTTCAGTAGAAGAGCCAGTAGCTGAAAAAGAACCAGAATCTAACAATGATGCAGAAGCAACTTTGAAGGTAATTCAACCAACAGAAAAAAATGAAGAAGCTACGAATGAGGAAGAAGCTAAGCAGAAGCCTCCAGTTTTGACACCAGAAGAAAGAAAACAGTTAGCCGTTGAATTGATAAACAAAAAGATTCAAAGAGCAGAGAAGTTCGGTGATGAAACTGCAGCAGAGGCCGCTAGAAAAGACTTAGCTAGAGTTGAAAAATTCGGAGTAGAATTAGGTACTGCTTTGGCTAGAGAGATCGGTCTTGCGGATAAAAGCTTACCAAATGGTCACAAGAAACATTTCAAGAAAAACTTTAAGAACAAGAAAAACTTTAAGCCCAACTTCAAAAATAGACGTAGAAACTAAACTATATTGACCTTTTTTCATTCAAATTAAAAACAATTGTAATTATCTACTGTAGATTAAATATTGATTTATAGGTGTATTTATGTAATTCAACAAAGACAATCCCTAATTTAAAAATTAATGTACTAGTATGATTAAATCTAGTATGCAATTTGACCTAGAGTAGATTGAGGATTAATGATCAGTATTCTCATAAGAATCACTGTCATATGCCAGGTTCATTGACCCAGATATTTCATTATTGTACGCTTCCATAACTAATTCATTATCATTTCTGATCCAAATGGCATAAATCAATATGATTGTCAAGTAAACGTTCAAAACGGCACTCCAAAGGGCAGGCAATATGGTTGATCTATCAAATGTCTGAATTTCTAACATTCTAATTGTTAAGACCAGTTCAATAAGATCCTCCCTACCTGTCTTAGGGATATCTAAAGAATATTCATTTGAATGGATGATATGGTACACAATAAATGCAAGAAATATGGACATGAGAAAAACAGGCAATACGAATAAAATAAGAATTGATTGTCTAAATGATTTTACAATCCTCTCATTTGCATCTATAGATCCCTCTGATACGGGTGATACAGGTGGAAATTTTGCAATTGTCTTCTTCGTTTTGAAGTAGTGAACCAACGATAATACAAACCATATCAATGGAAATATTTCACACGCAAAATTAATGAGTTGACGAATGATGAAAATGGTAGTAAAATTGGAATGAGGATTAATCATTTGCATTCCATTCGAACCTGCATCTCCATATATTGGGGATTGGGTACTGCCTCCCAAATATTCAAAACTTTCCCTCACACCAAACAAGCAAATATTAGTAACTAACAAAATTACCGCTTTATTGAGTAGTCTTCCAGGCATTTCCCTATAATTTTGATTTGTATCATTATGATAATAAATCACACCATAACCCATAGCGAAAAGCAAAATAAGGAATCTGAAAACAATACCAAAATTATAATCTATCCAAGTCATGGTCACCTTCATAAATTTAAAAACGACCGCATGACTTCCACTTGAAATGTAGTTATTTTGAATAAAGGCGATAAACCAATCACCACAAGAGAGTAATATAACAGGGACTAATAAATAGAATATCACAGCCTTTGAAATAATTGAAATAGAATTCATATTTTTGAAATCCTTTCCAACTTTAAATTTGATAATGTAATGGAACAAATAGGCTGCCAATAATAAACCAATAGCAATTATATACTTATACTGCGTATAAAACGTATATTGAATATATGGCAAATAACCATATGAATTCTGATAATTGACTGGAATCGACAATTTCTTGATACCAGAATTTATTGGTGGAGCAACATAAGCACAATATATTCCTGACTCATATACTGGTAAAACAGCTTTCGTATGTTTTTCGTCTTTAGAATCAGTTGTCAAATAGTCATTGTAAATTCTATCCTTATGAAGCTTGTAGTTCTTATCTAAATTTAACCTGAATTTGTTTTGCTTAAGATCAACCACATCTTTAAAAAACTCTTTCTGTTCTTCCAACGTTCCATCATTCAAAACATAAGAGTAATCATAAAAATAATTCTCAATCGGAGGGATAGAAGTGAAATTTAAAATATCAGTATAACGAAATAATAACACAGGAATCTTCAAGTCCTTCAACGTAGATCTATCATCCGATTCCAACTGTTCGATGTGTAACTCAATTGAAGCCTGCATTTTGCTATTTGGCGTATATTTGATAGGCGAACATGATGCACCATAATCTTTCGAATTTAACTCAATTGCATTACCAACATGGCCCGGAATATAGCCAAGGACATTAGTTACATTAAGCAACAATCCCACTATCAACGTGAACAATGTATTGAACATCATATTGTCAGTACAGTGTATTGAAGAAAAAAGGATTCCAACTCTAAATACTTCTATTTTTAAAATATCCTTTTTCTCATCTTGGCCATATTAGATCCCTTAACCACCTGATCTGATTAAATATCAAATACTCGCCTAAATAGATACACACTCTTATTGGCCTATGCGACGTCATATCTCGAGCATGCACTTATCTCAACTGCATTGGGATGTGTCATTTCAATGCAATCTCTCCTGTCCGCTGATGCACTCTGAAAAAAAATCTCTTCTCCTATTGAGTCCTTACATCATTTCAGTAACTATTACCAATTTGTGTACAAAATTTTGGAAGCCCGTTAATTCTCTATATAATTTATCAATTAATTCTGACTTATGAAATTGTTATATTTCAGACTCAAACGGTTCATTTGCAGGGGAAGATTACGCTACTTCTATAATTTATTCCAATATATATAATATACAAATATATATGTACTTATATTCTCAGTTATTCTAAATAAAACAGTTTAATTACCATGTAGATTAGTATCCTTTTATAGTGGAATATTAGGATTACTTAAATAGCTCTTATCCATTGGTCGTAATTTAATTTCATGTGGCATGTGCACTCTTGGTAATATATATCCAAATAAGATGGACTAAACAGTTATCGAAGAGGTATATTACATATTTCTTCTCCCTTTGATCATCAATAAAAGGATATTCATTAATTCTTCTATAAATCTTAGTAAAAAACACAAAAGTTTTTCACTCCTTAATAGATCACTTCTTAGCTTCGGAAACAATCCTATGTCTCTGAGCTTTTTGCAGCTCACTTTGAACTTTATTTAATACATCACATCACCTTCATATTCTGCTTTTTCGCTACCATAAAAATATTCATGTCCGCTCCGTAACGCATACTATGCCCTTTCAGCAACATCTCTAGATAGTCTTTGAGGTATTATTAACCCATTTTGTCATAAAGTATTTCTAAATATCTAAAGAAAAATCAATCTTGTTGCCTTAGATAAAGTAGATTTTCAACCTCTAATCAACAGTAGCGGGGCGGACAAAAAGATCGATTATATGTTAGATCGTCACACGTACGTGCTAGGTCATTACGCTCTGAGCAACGCGACATACACCCAGAAACATTAGGATTGTTAAGTACTCACTCATAGTCATATCCAAGGGGCCCAGTATAAATAAAAATGGAACGTTCGAAATGATAGTGCATCAATTTTATTTTCACATGGACACCTACAATGTATCAATAGCAGCCGACTTAAACGGAAATAAAGACGGTATAATTACATTGGGTAGGTGTCAACGTGCAACTTATTGCTCATCAGATAAAATCAAATTCTAACTAGACGGTTAAGCGAGCAGACGGTGCGACGATGGAGGCACGAACCTAGGGTATGATGCTGACTGGGAAAACTGGGGTGAATTCAAGCGTGCAGCTAGCAACTACGGGCAGTTCAGAAAGTAGAGGACGTCCAACAGATACAGTCATATACTCTGGAACAATGTTACGGGGTAATAATAACTCTGTCTCTCAGGGGGGTGTCGATAGACTCTGTGATCGTGGAAGAAGCGTATATACAAGCCGAGGGTGGAGCCGACGGTCTGTTGATAGTGTATCAATTAATCAATAGTTAAGTCAGCATTAAAATATATAATTTACTTTATGTCTAAGTATCACATATATTTATCAAGTCAATTGATCTCCTTTTATGGTAGAATGTTAGGATTACTTAAGTATGCCTCATCCATTCGAGATAATTTAATAATAATTTCAAGAAGTGGTCTATGAGGTATTATTAACCCACTTTATCTTCAACTAGATATATTTAAAGAGCAATCATCTTAGTTGCCCTAAAAAAAGAGTTTTTCAAACTCTTATTTAATTTTGCAACCAATTTTTTTTCTTAAACTATATATTCATGCTCATCAATATTTCAACATTTCCTCTTAATCCTAATACTCGGCATATCAGCTAACGAACGTAGATCGGTAAACTTCACTCCTTTCAATAATTTGGCTAGCATATCTGCAACCTGATTGTTTCTATCAATTTGGCACAATTTAATTTCATTTAGAACAATGTGCTCCCTAATATTATAATAACGAATACAAATGTGTTTTGTGCGTTGATGGTACACTAGATGTTCGTCTAAAAAAATGAACAAGTTATTATCCTCATGAATAGGAATTAGGAGTGACAATGGTATATTCAATTGTTTAAATAGTTGGGTTATTCAGAGTCTTGGTAGCTTCTGTCAATGCTAAATATTCAGCTTCAGTAGCAAGAAGTAGGAACACCACCATATATGGAGCCTCTACTATTGTTTATCATCTCATATAATATGGATAGAGAAAATTTATGATGTACTTGTCGGACTTTACTACGTTTCGTTGGCTGATGTTACAATTGTATTGTTTCTTATTACGATTTTGGTTCAAGGTTATTTTCTTTCAATCTAAGCTATAAGAGAACCTAAAAATGCAATCAGTCTGAAGGCGTCCTTTCCTTAACGATAATCAAATGTATTGTAGAACCCAAATACCCGCATGTATTCGTGGCTCCTGACGTTATCAGCGATCAGTCAGGTTGTTTTCATGGTTATGCCTAGAAATGATTATAAATGGTATTTCGTATAAACATCAGATAATGCACGCCCCCTTAGAAGGCTATGGCTTCTTTTAATTAAGTATTACAAACGTATTAAATGCTTGCTTCTGTTACCTATTAACCCCAGGAATGGTGCAATAAACTGTGGCTGTTAGTAATCACCCCACAAGCGTAACGGAAAACTGCGAAAATTTGCGACCATACTCCAATCGGTAGCTGACAAACTGTGGATGCGAAAGGCTTTCATAGAGGAATATTGGACTATAACAGATGATCAAGACAAATTATGGATGTGGCTTCTAAGAGGAGAATTATTATATAAGTATGGTGGTGGCAGCCATTTACTGTGGTGAATACATATCTATTCCATCAAAGCACTACAATAGTTAGGTGAAATTTGCTTATTACGTTGAAAACCCATTGACAAAATAGGTAATTCAAAAAGGTGGTCTAAAGGTTAACTAAAAGCACACTACAAAAGGAATTTAAAGCATATAAGAAATTATAGATGTCAAAAGCATCAGGAAACTACGATACGCACTACGTTGCAGGCACAGATGAAATCGATGCTGATGGAACTTTAGTTATCAATAAGTTAAACAGAAAACAACTGGAATACCCAGACTTTCTTCCAACATGGGATCCAAAGCAAAAGTATCCGCCATTGAAGTTTTTCAAACATTTGGATCCAGGTGCTAGAGCTGACAAATCGTTATCGAATTTGTTTCCTAAGGATGCCCAATTTGTTCAAAAGAGAATAACACCAAAACTCGGTACCGAAGTTACTGGAGTCCAATTGTCGCAATTGAATGATAATGCTAAGGATGAATTAGCATTATATGTTGCCCAGAGAGGTGTGGTAGTCTTCAGAGATCAAGATCTTGCAACCAAAGGCCCAAAATTCGCAACTGATTACGGTCGACACTTCGGACGTTTACACATCCATCCAACGTCTGGTGCTCCAAGAGGCCATCCAGAATTACATATTACTTACCGTCGTGCTGATAAAGGGGAGTTTGACCGTGTCTTTTCGCAGAGGTCGAACTCTACTTCTTGGCATTCTGATGTTTCGTACGAGTTGCAACCTCCAGGAACTACTTTTTTCGCCGTTCTTCAAGGTCCTGATGCCGGTGGGGACACCATTTTTGCCGATGTAGTGGAGGCCTATAATCGTTTATCTCCCGAATTTCAAAAGAGACTAGAAGGATTACATGTCTTGCATACTTCGGAAGATCAGGCTTCCAACTCTCGTGTTCAAGGAGGCATTGAAAGAAGAAAGCCTGTCTCTAACATTCACCCGTTAATCAGACAACATCCAGCAACTGGTGACAAATTTATCTATTTAAATCGTCCATTCTCCAGGAGAATCGTTGAATTGAAACAGGATGAATCTGACTACTTGATTAACTTCTTATTCCAACATATCGAATCGGCCCATGACTTACAATTAAGAGCTAATTGGGAACCTAATACGGTTGTTGTCTGGGATAACAGAAGAGTTGTCCATTCTGCCATCATTGATTGGGAGACGCCAGTTTCAAGACACGCATTCAGAATTACACCACAAGCTGAAAGACCAGTGGAAGATTTGAAATATTTAAATAAAGAAGAATATGATATTGGTGACGTAGGTGAAGCTTTAGACAAGCTTTTAAAATAGGTTTTTATTTAAAAAATATTATATGATTATGTTATGGTAGAAGACTTGTACGCCACTTTATAGGTAACATCGAAACTTGATGAGATTATATCTTAGAAGGTTGTATCTATTTACAAACTATTTCTAGTGCTATCTAAAATTTAAATCTCTATACGGATGTTGCTGTGGTTGTTTAATTAAACTTTTTACCAAAGCATCACTCGTTGAAGTCCCCCTTTTCATCTTCAACGACTAATACATTGTTATTTCGGATCCAAATCACATATAATAAGGTGATAGTTAGATATATCTTGATCGCCAGAGGCCATGATTGAATCAACGACATGGTTGTATCTTCAGTAAAGAGAAGCATATAATTCAACCACCTTACCAGCAACATGAGTGATTCTCTTGACGGTACCTTGCTTGTTGGTTCCGAGTCTAACATCATATCATACATCATCGAGTAGTAAGCTTCAATTGCCACGCGTCCATACGCTATGACCCATGCCAACCCGGATATGGACGGCGAAATAAGAATGAGAAAACCAGATTGTTTAAACGCTTTCATTATTCTGGTATTAACATCAATTCCCTCGCTCACGGTAGAAGTGGGTGGTAGTTTCTTAATAATATTCCTTGTCTTGAAATAATAGATAAATGATACAAAATATAAGACGAAAGGAAATACGAACGAACCAAAAAAACATATGGTACATATGGATTCCATCGTATCTTTATATAATGCCAAAGTATTGCATGTCATCAAATATTTCTCAATTGAATAATATACGTGTTCCGTATTATTCAAAGTTAAATCTGTAATAAAAAGTGTCCATGCCACATTCTTAGTTCTCTTTGGCATTTTTCTGAATGTTCGAGAAGCGCCTCTATGATAATAAATTACTCCGTACCCCATAGTGAATAGTAAAGCATAAAACCTGAATAAGATCTTCCAATTAGGTTGAATCCATTCCATTGCTAGACGGAAGTATTTAAAGCAGCTTTTTTTGTGATTACTTAAATTGCTGTGAAGTTCAATAAATACTACAAACCACTCAAGAGAAGCGAATGCTAATAGCGGCATCAAAACATAAAATATAACAACCTTTGAAATAATAGGCATATTTTTAATATTCAACCGCTTATCCGTACTAAATTTCAAAACATCATGTATCAAGTATGCTGCTAACAATAGACCAAAGCCAATAATATATTTTGTCTTAGAATAATTGGCATACATCATGTTACTCGAATACAATCTTGAATATTGTATTTCCACAGGTACCCTCATTATCTTGATATTTTTGTCAATAGGAGGTGCAATATAAACGCAATACATCCCAGACTCATAGACGGGTAGTAGTGCTTCATTATTACCATTCTCTTTTGATGCATCTAAAAATCCATTATAAATTCGTTTTTCATCAATTTCATTGTACCCTTCATACAAATCTAATATAAACTTATTTTGTTCAAAGTCTACCGAGTTTTTTAAGAAATAACTTTCTAAGTCCAAATTTTTAGAGCTGTAGTTAGACGCATATGCCTCACGATATTCTTCCCATGAGGGAAGTGTGGTGAAATTTAAAATATCTTCATAACGAAATAGTAACACTGGCACTTTTAAATCACTTGGTACTACCCCATCCTCTACCTCTAAATCCTCCAAGAATATCTTAATTCCACCTTGAATACTAGCTTTTGATTCACTTAATACAGGAAAGCAAGAAACCCCCAAAGAATTTGCGTCCAACACGGAATCTTCTTCAAAGGCAACTACACACGTGTTAAATAAAATACCTCCCAATACAAGGATGAATACAAAAAGCATTATTGAGTGTTATACACATGATCCAAAACTTGCGAGCTGAATTATGATATTTATATACTCTGATAGAGGCTCGTCCATCCAATAATTGACGAAAAGGGTTCCTATTTTTCAGCATCCTTTTTGATTATGTCATGATGAAATCATATATGTAAAAACCTATTCTAGTAGGAAAACAGACTTCGGTATAGAATTCTATTGGCCACAATTGGTGCTTCTCTATATGCATCACACATACATACTAGAGGGAGTATCATATGACAAATACGGGGTAATTAACAAAGAATTCATTAGTAATTGTATGTCCTATTCTTTCCCATTTTATCTTTTCATTGTTCTTAATCGATTACGCAACAATCTGTAGTAAACCGAGATAAAGACATATCAGAATCAAAAATATATTTAAAATAATATCCAAGATAAAAAATAAACTCGAGATCGAAGAGAACGTTGAGGGAATTGAACCCTAAAGAGACTAATTTGCAATCAAAGCATGGAAGGCATTCTGTAAATCTATAACACAAATTAATAAATCCCAAAAGTAAATACAGGTTCTTCTCTAATTGCCACCATCCGTTTTGCTAATATTCGTGAAACGCAACATATTACATCAAGCAGTAAAAGCATGACATATTTGAAAGCATTCGTGAAGTATATTATGCAATAAAATCTATTGTCATTATGTTTGTTCTTGTACAGTTTCGCATTCTACAACAATTTATTTTATCACATATTACATTTCATTAATTCTATTTGTTTCGCCAATCACATAACCATGTACTTTATTTGCCTCACATTTTTAAGTATACTCCGTTATTTACCTCAAACTACTGACTGATAATAACATCAGTCATCTGTTGTTTATACACAAATAATAGCTGGCTTATATAATTAATATTGGGCATTTGCAGGCTATTTCCTAATTAAATGTCCATCTATAATATAAATTAATGATGGTATAAATAAAGCTAATGCAAATAATAAATATGCGGCTTGTGCAGCAACCATGTGACTAGAATTCCATATAATCAACGCCAGGCTATTCTTTGAGATCCTCTTTTTCATCTTCAACAACTAACGCATTGTTATTTCTAATCCAAATCACATATAGTAGACCAATAGTCAAGTATATTTCAAGTGCTCCTGGCCATGCTCTGTCTAAAGACATCTCATGAAGTTTAGTCCTCATAAACTTATCATTTATAGACTTCACCAGCGATATGAGTGATTCTCTTAGTAGATCATTGTCAATTAAACTGAGCTGCAAAGTAAAATCATTCTGCGCCGAACGAGAAGATTTAATCGACAGCGGACCATATGCTATGAGCCTTGCCAATGGAGAGATTGTTGGAGATATAAAGACGACAAGAATAGATTGCTTAAACGCTCTCACTATCCTAGTAATTGCATCAATTTCCTCCGTTCTAGTCAAAGTTCGTGGTAGTTTCTTAATAATACTTCTTGTCTTAAGATAATAGATAAATGATACAAAGTACCATATAAATGGAAATACCAACTGGCCATATAACCATACCATGCTTATGAATCTAATCATATCTTTATATAAAGCCAATGTTGGAAACGACATCAAATACCTAACACATGCAAGACATTGTTTTTGGGTGTTACTCAAAATTATATTGGTGATGAAAAGAGACAATGCTAGGTTCTTATTCCTCTTTGGCATTTTACTGAATGTTCGAGAAGCTCCTTTGTGATAATAAATTACACCGTACCCCATAGTAAAGAGTAAAATATAGAATTGGAGCAAAATATTCCAATTTGTTTGTATCCATTCTATTGCCAAATGGAAATATTTAAAGTAGCGTATTTTGCGATTACTTAAATTGCAGTGAAGTTCGATAAACACAACTAGCCACTCGAGGGACACAAATAGTACGACCGGTATTAAGATATAAAATAGAACTACCTTTGAAATAATTGGCACATTCCTAATTTTCAACCGTTTATCTGTGCTAAATTTCAAGATATCGTTAATCAAAAATACAGTTAATAATAAACCAGCTACAATAATATATATTGTCTGACGATAATTGGTATAACGCATGTCACTCGAATAAAATTTTGAATTTTGTACTTTCAGATAAAAGCGTACGTCAAAATTTTGTTCAATAGGTGGTGCAAGATAAACGCAATACATCCCAGACTCATAGACCGGTAGCACTGCTTCAGTATATCTATCCAAAAATCCATTGTAGATTCGTTTTTCATCAATTTCATTGTACCCTTCATACAAATCCAATATAAACTTATTTTCTTCAAAGTCTACCGAATTTTTTAAGAAATAATTATCCCAATTCAAGTTGCTAGAGCTATAGTTAGATGTATATCCCTTTTCATATTCCTCCCTAGAGGGAAGTGTGGTGAAATTTAAAATATCTTCATAACGAAATAACAACACTGGCACCTTTAAACGACTTGGCACTACACCCCTTAACTTGATCAGAATTGCAGCTTGTATGCTAGCCTCTGGTTCACTTATTATGGGAATGCAAACATCACGCATGGAATTATCTAACACGTTGAGACTGGCATCAGTCACTATTCCAGTGTTATATAAAATTCCACTCAAGAGTAGAACGAATAAGAGGAGCATTGATATAATATTCTAAATTTTCACTGAAAATAAGAGATCAAATTTATTTTTTAAAGCGGCTCCTGAACTATGTTGGTTTTGTGTCATTATCAGAATCTATAAAGATTCTGAAACAAATCGTTGTAAGAACCATAAATAGTTATGCTAGTGATACTGATAGTCATCAAAGGATATGGGAATAATCTTAATNAGTTGAAACGAAACAAGAATATAAATTAGGAATGCATCTTCAAGGAGAAGATGATTTTTTCTAATCAACGAATAGTAATTAAGCAGAATATACTTAATTAAGACCATCCTAAAAAGTCATCGATAGGTAGATCGATCACTTAACTACTTCTATAGTAACTAATATTGATATATAAGACCTATATCTAAAATACTAATACATAAGTATTCTTCCCTATATATTTCAGGTATTTACACGACCTTTATCATAATCCCAATAAATTATGATAATCACGTTTTGTAACTCAAATTTTAAATGATGTGGCTGATGTTGCAATTATGCAACTAGAATTCTAAAGACTCCTTCGAGTAGTCAATAGCAAACTACTCTTTGAGGTCCCCCTTTTCATCTTCAAGGACTAATACATTGCTATTTCTTATCCAAATCACGTATAATAATGCAATAGTTAGATATATCTTGATAGCCCCAGGCCATTTTTCATTTATAGACTTGACGCTATCTTCGGTATACAGCATTACATGGTTCGATAATTTTACCAGTACTATTAACGATTCTCTTGATGATACTTTCTCACTTACGTCCAAATCCGAAGAAATGTCATTTATCGCTGAGTAAAAGACTTTGACAGCCATACGTGCAAATGAGCTAAACCATGCCAACCCCGAAATAGTTGGTGATATAAAGATTATAAGACTAGATTGTTTAAATGCTTTCATGATTCTGGTATTGGCATCAATTCCTTCTGTGACTGTCGACGTAGGTGGCAATTTCTTAATAATATTCCGCGTTTTGAAATAATAGATGAATGATACGAAGTACCAAATGAAAGGAAAGGCGAATGAGCCAAAAGAACATACGGTACATATGATTCTAATAGGGTAGGCCATCAAACCAGTATCATACTTATCGTATGCTTTTTGAGCGTTACTCAAAACGATATTGGTGATAAAAAGTGCCCATGCCACGTTCTTGGTCCTCTTTGGCATTTTACTGAATGTGCGAGAGGCTCCTCTATGGTAATAAATTACCCCATACCCCATAGTTAATTGTAAAACATAAAACCTGAGTAACGTCTTCCAATTAGGTTGAATCCATTCATTCGTTAGACGGAAATATTTAAAGAAGCATATTCTGCGACTAGTTAAATTGCAGTGTGTTTCTATGAATATAATGAGCCACTCAAGAGAAACGAATGATAATAATGGTACCAAGACATAAAATATAACTGCCTTGGAAATAATTGGCATATGCGTAATGCTCAATTGTTTATCCTTGGTAAATTTTAAAGTATCATGTACTAAGTATGCTGCTAGCAATAGGCCAATTCCAATAATATATTTTGTTTCACAGTAATGAGCATAAAACATGCTACTCGAATACAATTTTGAATATCCTATGTCCACAGGTGCGCTCATTATCTTAATATTTTTGTCAATAGGTGGAGCAATATAAACGCAATACATTCCAGACTCATTGACTGGTAGTACTGCTTCATTATTACCATTCTCTTTTGATGCATCTAAAAATCCATTATAAATTCGCTTTTCATCAATTTCATTGTACCCTTCATACAAATCCAATATGAACTTATTTCGTTCAAAGTCTACCGTGTTCTTCAAGAAATAGCTTTCCCAATTCAATTGGTTAGAGCTATAATTGGATGCATACCCTATGTCATATTCCTCATATGATGGAAGTGTAGTGAAGTTTAAAATATCTTCATAACGGAATAACAAAACCGGTACTTTTAAATCGTCTGGCTTTCCACCATCGTACAACTCCAATTCGTCCAACAACACCTTAATTCTGCCTTGCCTACTAGCCTCCGGTTCACTTATTATAGGAAAACAAGAAACTCCCAGAGAATTTGCGTCCAACACTAGTCGGTGGATACCGGTCAGTAATGATGTGTGTAGTTGGTTAATGGCCAGCGATGATACGCCTACGCTGACATCAGCCAGTCCTAGTCCGTTAAATAAAATTCCACTCAAAAATAGAACGAATATGAGAAACATTCTTAAAGAGCATTATAAATTTTATTGATATTAGCGAGCCGAAGGCTATTTATATGTTTTTGGCGATGGCGCTCGTAGGACTATTTGGACCAAAAAGGGTTCATGCATTCTGATGTCAACAATACTATGTCGCAGAATTACAATTACACGAATGTTTTCAATCGTCCCTTCATGTCGTGTCGGTGCATTTATCTGCACCTTTTGCACTTAAGATTCATAAACTTATAAATAATATACTCTCTGGATTTCACAATGCCTGTAGAATTTACGATATCTACATAAAATAAAAAATGTAACTTTTATTCGTATTTTGCTTGAATTTAATTTGAAGCCACGTTGCGGTGAATACTTTTTTTTTGTCATTCAAACTAGTGATTTCTTAAGTACGCAAAGCTTGCCCATATCAAACTTTATTTGATTATGTCATGATGCTCTATATGTAAACATTCCAGAAGGGAAATTCTCGACAGATCTTGCTCACAAATTGTGCTCATCATCATACATATTGGATATCTGATACATGCGGGTAATTATCAAATTCTACTCTTACCCATTTTACCATTTCGTTGTTTTTAATCAAAGCGCATAGAAAGCATTCTTCAGAAGATCTATACCATAATTCAATAAATATCAAGGGTTCATACAGCGTCCTTTTTAGTTGCCACCTTCTCTCATACTTTAGAAAAGCCTATTATTTACCCATACAAATAATACTATTGTTAAAAATATTCCTAGTGCAAAATCCATTTCAGCAACTTTGATTATGTACCTTTTCGCATTCCACAACTTTTGTTCTGTCATAGTACGTCCTCAGATTTCCTTATTCCTTATTTCTATTTGTTCGGTCTCCCAAAAAGTATAGGCTTTATTGAGAGCTATTTCATTTCTAAGCATGTTTCTTTTTTACTTTATCTACAAAGTTTATTGCGTAATGATTAAGACTAATCTCTTATTCTATACACAAACCAATAACTTGCAGTATTATCAATTTGGATATTTACAAGCTGTTTTCTATTTAAAATGTCAAATATGCGGCTTGTGCTGCAATCATGTGATTAAGATTTCTTGTTGGTTTTGTGTCACTATCAGAATCTATAAAGATTCTGAAACAAATCATTGTAAGAACCATAAATAGTTATGCTAGTGATACTGATAGTCATCAAAGGATANGGGAATAATCTTAATNAGTTGAAACGAAACAAGAATATAAATTAGGAATGAATCTTCAAGGAGAAGATGATTTTTTCTAATGAACGAATAGTAATTAAGCAGAATATACTTAATTAAGACCATCCTAAAAAGTCATCGATAGGTAGATCGATCACTTAACTACTTCTATAAGTAACCAGTATTGATATATAAGACCAGTATATCTAAAATACTAATACATAAGTATTCTTCCCTATATATTTCAGGTATTTACACGACCTTTATCATAATCCCAATATTTCTTAACTATGAATTATCAAAAGCCAAGACTACTCTTTGAGGTCCCCTTTTTCATCTTCAACGATTAACGCATTGTTATTTCTTATCCAAATCACGTATAATAATGCAATAGTTAGATATATCTTGATAGCCCTTGGCCACTTATCAAAAGAAGCCATCATAGTGTTCTGACTAAACAGCATTAGATGGTTTGTCTTTTTTACCAGATCTATGAGCAATCCTCTTGATGGATCTTCGACACTTACGTCCAAGTCCGAAGAAATTTCATTCATCATTGAGAAAAAAGCTTTGATGGCAGTACGTGCAAATGAACTTAACCATAAAATTCCCGAAATAATTGGTGATATAAAGATGACAAGACTAGATTGTTTAAATGCTTTCATGATTCTGGTATTGGCATCGATTCCTTCTATGTCACTCGACATAGGTGGTAATTTCTTAATAATATTCTTTGTCTTAAAATAATAGATAAATGATGCAAAATATAAGACGAAAGGAAATACGTACGAACCAAGGAAACATATGGTACATATAAATTCCTTCACATCTTCATATAAGGCCCAAGTGTGGTCTGCTATCAAATATTTTTCAAATTTAGAATATGCATTTTCTATATTAGACAAAATTAAATCTGTGACAAAGAGTGAAAAGGCTACGTTCATCGTCCTCTTTGGCATTTTACTGAATGTGCGAGAGGCTCCTCTATGGTAATAAATGACACCATATCCCATAGTAAAGAGTAAAACATAAAACCTGAGCAATATCCTCCAATTAGGTTGTATCAATTCTATTATTAGACGGAAATATTCAAAGCATATTATTTTTCGACTACTCAAATTGCAGTGAATTTCGATAAATACAACAAACCACTCAAGTGACATGAGTGATAATAATGGTATCAAGACATAAAATATAACTGTCTTTGAAATAATTGGCATATTCTTGATGTCCAATTGTTTATCTTTTTTAAATTGCAAAATATTATTTATCAAGTATATTGCTAACAATAAGCCAGTACCGATAATATATCTTACCTGGCAGTAGTCGACATACGACATATTAGTCGAATAAAATTTAGAATACTGAAGGGCAAGCGATATATTCATCGTTTTGATGTCCCTGTTAATAGGTGGTGCAACATATGCGCAATAAATTCCAGACTGGTAGGCTGGTAATAAAGCTTCAGCATGACCATCCTCTTTTGACACATCTAAGAATCCATTATAAATTCGCTTTTCATCAATTTCATTGTACCCTTCATACAAATCTAATATGAACTTATTTTCTTCAAAGTCTACCGAATTTTTTAAGAAATAATTATCCCAATTCAAGTTGCTAGAGCTATAGTTAGATGCATATCCCTTGTCGTATTCCTCCCACGAGGGAAGGGTGGTGAAGTTAAGAATATCTTCATAACGAAATAGCAACACCGGTATCTTTAAATCTGTTGGCTCTTGTCCGTTATTTAATTTCAATTCGTCCAAGAAAATCTTGATTCCACCTAGTAACGTAGCTTCTGGTTCATTCATTATAGGAAGGCAAGAAACCCCAAAGGAATGTGCGTCCAACGCCAGCCTTTGAACATCAGCTAATACTAAAGTATTAAATAAAATGCCACTTAAGGATAGAACGAATACGAGGAACATTTTTAAGGAGCTCTATAGACTCTATCGATATTAGCGAGACCAAAGCTATTTATACTTCTTTGACGAAAGCGCTCGTACTAAAATATTGGCCCAAAAGGGTTCATGCATTCCGATGTCAACAGTACAATAACGTCGGCTTATTACAACTGCACGAAAATCTTTCACTCGTATCTTTCATGTCATTTCAATAGGATTTATTCTCTACCGTTTGGTCATCAGATTCGTATATCTTATATGTGATCTATTCTCTTGATTTTACAATATCTCTAGGATTCACTCTATATATAGTAGACTGAGAGACGCAGAGAAAGTTTTTTCACTGTCAACCAAACCTTAAAACGACTTAAAGGACTAAGATGTATCATCCACACCTAAGTATACTATAATACAGACATATACATTCTTTTTTCAAATAGTATCATGAGATTGTCATAGAATTCAGCTTAAAAAAATGTAAACGGATTATACCTTAATTTTTGGAGGGTTGTTAATTTATTAGCATTACCAAACACTAACTGATTTTCAAGATATGCAATGCTCGTCCATAAAGATATATTCCTCATATATATTATACTTGTAACATATACCTTAATAAATTAACATACAAATTGGAATCATATGTTTTTGCCGTGTGGAATTCGCTATATGTAGCCGTTCTTTGTAGAGCCGTTGAGAACGAGGCATAAAAATTCGAGATCATAAATAGTCTTAATATAGTCTTATCTTCAAACTATTACTTTTTTAGTTTCTTTGGCCAACAACTATGTGTAATTCTAATAACAAGCCTTATTATGAAGCGTTACCTATTTCTTTAAAGCCTTATCACTATGATGTATCAATCAGTGATATCAATGTTGAGAAGGAGACATTTAAAGGAAAAGTGGTAATTTACTTCACAATTGTGGAAGAAACAAACGAATTACATTTAAACTATAGAGATTTGTCAGTGTCACAAGATAAAATTGATATTGTTATGCAATACAATGATTCTACGAAGGGTATTCGTGCTACTTCAATTGAAGAATTTAAGGAGAAAGAGTATTTTATAATCAAATTTGATGAAACAGTAAAGCCAATGAATAATTCCAAGTTGATCCTCACGTTAAATTATGATGCTATAATTCAGACCAATATGGCGGGTTTTTATAAGTCTGGTTATAAAGAAAATGGAATTGAAAAAATTATGTTGTCTACTCAATTTGAAGCTACTGATGCCCGAAGGGCTTTCCCATGTCTTGATGAGCCTGCATTAAAAGCTACGTTCAGCGTTGATTTATTGGTTTCACAAGAATGGACAACTTTAGGAAATATGCCAATATTGGAAGAAAAATCAATTGGTTCGAACTTGAAAACGGTAAAGTTTGAGAAAACACCAATAATGTCTACTTACTTGTTGGCATGGGCTTGTGGTGAATTCGAGTACATTGAATCATTTACGGATGGTGTTTATCAAAATGATAAGCCATTGCCTGTTCGTATTTATACTACGAAAGGTTATAAGGAAGAAGCTAAGCTTGCCTCGGAGATAGCTCCTAAGATCATAGATTACTTCTCGAAAATCTTCGAAATCAAATATCCTTTACCAAAACTTGACTTAATTGCTGTTCATTCCTTTTCTCATAATGCTATGGAGAACTGGGGTTTAGTTACTTACCGTAGTACCGCATTATTATATTCTAACACTAAATCTGATCCATCCTATAAGCAAAAGGTTGCTTACGTTGTTGCTCACGAGTTAGCACATCAATGGTTCGGTAATTTGGTTACGATGAAATGGTGGGATGAATTATGGCTTAATGAAGGTTTTGCCACTTGGGTAGGATTTGCAGCTGTTGATTATTTATTCCCTGAGTGGGATATATTTAGCGGATTTGTTTCTGAATCCTTACAACAAGCTCTTAATTTAGATGGTTTAAGAAATTCACACCCAATTGAAGTGCCTGTTGTGGATGCTTTAGATATTGATCAAGTTTTTGATGCGATTTCTTATTTAAAAGGTGCTTCAACTATATTGATGATTTCAAATTCTCTTGGAACGGAAATATTTTTAAAGGGTGTCGCAAACTACTTAAATAAGAACAAATACAGCAATGCTACTTCCCGTGATTTATGGTCTTCTATTAGTGAAGTTTCTGGTAGACCAGTTAACGAAATGATGGAATCATGGATCAAGAAAATTGGGTTCCCGATTGTTAATGTAGATTTGAAATCCGCTACTAAACAATTGACTATCAACCAATCAAGATTTTTGAATAGTGGAGATTTAAAAGATGAAGAAAACCTTACCAAATGGTGGATTCCTTTAAATATTTCAAATGGACCTTCTGTTGGCGATAAGCTATCATTAGATCCAAACGAAATTTCTCCTGGTTCTGCTAACATTACAATAAACGATTTCCAATTGGCTAATGATTTCTTCAAATTGAATAAAGACACGGCGGGTGTTTATCGTGTGAACTATTCGCCACAGGTAATGGAGCATAATATTTTACCATTTTTCAATAAATTATCTGGTAAGGATAAAGTCGGTATTATTGCGGATGTGGCATCTATCGCTATCTCTGGTGACGAGTTTACTTCAACAACCACGTTATTGAAATTAATTAAGTCAGTGATAGATTCTGATTCTATCGGTGATGAATACGTTGTTTGGTTAGAATTAGGTAAAAGATTGGACCATATTTTAGTTTCCTTCACTGGCATGGATGAGCATGTATCAATAGGCTTGAAATCCTTCGTAAGATCAGTTTATGAAAAAGTGTCTATCAAGTTCTTAAATGAATTAGAAGAGAATAAAATAGACGATTCTCAATTCTTGAGGACCAAATTAAGAGCAGAAATCTTGGGCAAGTCAGGTTTGCTCTCAATTACTGAAAGTGAAGATTATGCTTTGAGGTTATTTAACCAATGGAAATCAGGAAAGCCTATTCATCCATCATTGAGAGCTTTTGTTTTCTCGACTATTGTCTCCTCTAAACGGTTAATTGATGGCGAAAAGTTTGGATTAATTTTACAAGAGGTAACACACCCCACTTCTTTGGATTCACGAGAAATAGCACTAGAGTCGTTAGGTCATATTAATGATAAAGAATTATCGCAAAAATTAATAGGATATTTGATAAATCCGGATATAGTTCCAACCATGGATTCACACTTTTTAGGACGTTCGTTATCAACGAATGCCACTACAAAAGATGAATTTTGGAAGTTTTTCAAAGCAAATTATGATGAATTTTATAAATTGATGTCAACGAACATGGTTGTCTTAGATAGATTCATCAAGCTTACTTTGGGTAGATATCAATCTATGGCAATGTATAACGAGATAAAGAATTTTTTCAGCCAGAAGGATGTTCATGGTTTTGAACGATCATATAAACAGGTTTTAGATAATATTCTTATCAATTCCTCATGGGTTGAGAGAGACTTAAATGAAGTCAAGGAATGGTTGCAAGCTAATGGTTATATAAATTAGTATATGTATATACATATTATTACAGTTCTTTAATATTAATACAATTAAAAAGTGGTCTTCACATCTATAAATAATATTTAAAATACATAATAGAACCAGGTATTTACTAATTGAACATTATTAATTAATCTTGGTCGACTTTCTGTTCATGGATAGTAGCGAATCTACCGGATGGATCAGCATGACAACCCCATTCAGCCTTTGGAACCCATCTCATAACAGTTGAAGCAGCAGCCTTAGACTGGAAGATTTCATCGAATTTACATCTGTACCAGTAAGCTTCCTTAGTTGTTGGAACATCAGTACCCCATTCTGGCTTAGGGTTAGCGAATTGTTCGTCGGAAATAGTTGCTTCAGCAGCATCCTTTAAGCCATCGATCCATGAGTAACCGACACCATCGGAAAATTGTTCCTTTTGTCTCCATAAAATTTCTTGTGGTAAGTATGGCTTGGCGCTTGGGTCATCAGAAGTGTCAAACGCCTTTCTCAAAATGTATTTTTCAATCTTGCCCTCAGTTGGCTTGATTAATTTATCTTCTGGGTTAATGTTCATACAAACTTCCAAAAATTGCTTGTCTAAGAATGGAACTCTGGCTTCTAATCCCCAGGCCATAGTCGACTTGTTAGCTCTTAAACAGTCAGCATAATGCAAGTTTTTAACTCTCTTAACACATTCTTCGTGGAAGTCCTTTGGACTTGGAGCATTAGCGAAGTATAAGTAACCTCCGAAAATCTCATCAGAACCTTCACCTGACAAAACCATCTTCACACCTTGGGCCTTGATCTTTCTCGATAATAAGTACATAGGAGTGGAAGCTCTGATAGTAGTAACATCGTAAGTTTCCAAATTGTAAATGACATCATCCAAAGCATCTAAACCTTCGTCTAAAGTAAAGGTGTGGGAATGGTGAATAGTACCAATAAAATGAGCAACCTTTTCGGCAGCGATTAAGTCTGGAGCACCAGGAAGACCGATAGCAAAGGAGTGTAACTGAGTCCATCCATTGGAGTGTAAAGAACCCTTGTCATCAACACCGGATAATTCTTTGTTGGCATCAATACCATCCTTGCTGATGCCTGCTGCAACCTTTTGAGTTTCTCTAGCAGCAATGGATGCAATCAAGGAAGAATCCAAACCACCCGATAACAAGACACCATATGGAACCTCGGCCATTAATCTCTTTCTAACAGCTAATTCCAAGGTTTCTCTGACTTCCTTGTAGTCGACTCTCTTAGGTGGAACCGACGATTCTTCCCACCATGAAGGAGTGAAGTATCTGGTGATTTCATCGGTGTTAGAATCGTAGACGTGACCTGGTGGGAACGCAAAAATTTCATCACATTCGTCAGTAAGACATTTTAATTCAGATGCAAAGTAACGAGTTTTTGGGTTCTTGGAACTCTTACCCATGTACAAAGTGGTGATACCGATAGGATCTCTACTGGCGACAATACGGTCGTTCTTCTTGTCATACAATACCCATGCGAACATACCGTCCAAATACTTTGGCGCTTCGACGTCGTATTTTTCAAATAATGGAATAATTGGTTCACAATCAGATAAGGATTTATATGGGTATGATGGGAACTCATCTCTCAAGTGGATATGGTTATAAATTTCACCGTTAACTGCTAAGGTGTAGTTACCGTCTTCAGATGTAATTGGTTGGGCACCGGAGTCTAAACCGACAATAGCCAATCTTTCGTGACATAAGATGGTGGAGTTTTGAATAACGTTACCTGACCAATCTGGACCACGGTGACGGATTCTCTTGGAATACTGTAAAGCCTTTGATTTAAACTGTTCAACCTCTGGTTGTCTAAAAGCTGCAAAAATACCACACATAGTTCTATTCTATACTAGGTCTAATAGTAGCGTGTCGATATTAAGTCCTTTTCAACGATATAAGCGTCGTTTTAATGTTTTATATGTGAAAAATTTATTTTCGTCGACTAGTGACTAATTATTTTCACCCTCGGGTCGCATCTCATATTGCGACATTCGCTTGATTTCCGGTCCGCACCTTTTTGCCAGTTTCCGTTTATCGCCTCACGGATGATTCCCCCATTACTATGACTCAACAGCTTAGCTTTATCATTGTTTGTATTATATGCTTATTATTTACGCTAAGAATATTGCGACATCCCGCCCAATAATAGCTGATAAAATATGGATAATATTCTTTGTTACAATTGCAACCGCATTTCCTGTTGTGTTAGCCGCTCTAAAATGATGAGTCGCCCATAAACCTTTACCCCGGCCCCAATAGTAACATATCCAAAAACTCTCACGCTTTCAAATTTCCACATATACGTTCTTGTAGTATAGCACATTATATATGCTCCCCGAGATCATTTTGAATACCGAACAATAGAAGTTGACGAATGAAATTTAAATGGTATACATCACATCAAGAGTCATCTCATCTAACAGATTAGGGTGCGAATTAATCTGGTGTTTGGATTTTGTTAAATTAGGTGTATGTATGTTCGTTTCTGAACTTTTTCGATTTGTGCACGCCAGACTCCGATTGTGAGAAAACAGTAGCGGTATACTAGACCGGTGGCAATACCATAAGATTAGACTAGTACATTAAAGGAGATCATCCATAACTTATCGGTAGAACATAATAAATAGTAACAGGGATGTCATTACAGAAGCTAACTGGAGAATTATATCAATTGTTCGAATCAGAAAAATACACGCAATGTCAGAAGATCTTGACGCCAATCAAGATTGAATTGATTAAACACAATTTATTAGTGCCATTGGCGTCAAATAGTGGAAATAAAGATCAGTTAAATGACTTGAAGATTGCGGAACGGATTTTGGAGATTGGATCCTTAGCATCATTGTTAAGTAATGATTACCAGGGATTCGAGAACTATTTTGCGCAATTGAAGCCATTTTATAGTAACGAAAAGCTCCACAGCAAGTTGGAGATAAATACTGACTGCACCAAGATTATCTCGTTATATTTGTTATATTTGTTATCACAGGGGTTAATTTCCAAGTTTCACGTTGAATTGGAATATATCTTCAACAAACGCCAATATAATATTGAAAAGGATTCGTACTTGCAATTCCCAATTAACTTGGAAAGAAACTTAATGGAGGGTAACTATAATAAGATCTGGAAGTTGTTGAATGAGTCAGATAATAAGCTCCCATGCAAGGAGTACAAGCATTTCATTGATACATTAATTACTGCATTAAGATTTGAGATCGCAAAGTCTTTAGAAAGAACCTACGAATCCTTGCCTGTTAGCAATTGTAAGAACTTGCTATACTTTCCACAGGAACAATCCGATTCTGTGTTCCAGCAGTTTTGTGAAAGGGATTTGGAAATTGAAACCTGGACCTTTAAGGATGGTACCATTTTCTTCCATTCTAAGGGTAAAGATGAGACAAGCGGTGATAATTCGACGGCTGTCATTAATAATGTATTGAACTACGCAGAGCAAATCGAGTCCATCGTATAAATAACAGTTTAGATGATTACTTATAATATAAATTATTCTAATGACGTATAAAAATTCTTGTAGGCCAGATCCAAATCGTTCAAAAACGTATCAATGTCGGATTGGACTAATTCCTGGTCCTCCAAATTATTCAATTTAATTAACCACGATATCAATTTTGATTTGCCCGAGAACTCAATCGTCTTACCATTGTTTTCATCGTTTGAATCATTCATTGTCACCAAATCATTTAGACTTACCACTAAATCTGACAATAAAGGATGCAATTGGTCTTTTGTTTTGTAATTTAATTTCAACGCATCCATACATGTTATGAAGTTGCCTGTTACTTCAGCAACTAATCTGCCACTTGCTTTCGTAGACGTATTCGCATTACTGATATTATGCGTTGGATGGCTCGAACTTTCAACTTGAGTACCAAGATGTTCGATTGTTACGGGTACACCAGTTTGTAGCCTCTTTATAGCTAACGGGGCATGCAAGTTATATGTATTGGCTAGTTTCTCAGAAAAATCATCGCTATCTACTGAAGCTCCTGGTATTATATCTGCCAAGATAGTTTGCTTTGACTGATCTTCTTGAAATCCCTTGATAATTATTTGGTATTGATTTATTAATCTTAATGTGGTAGATGTGTATTTATCTTTGTCAGTAATATAATCTTTTAGAAATGACTTCTCTATCATTTCCATTACCGTCACTATAGAGTATATTTCTGCAAGCGAATCATATATGTTTTTATGCAATGGAGATTTGATCACTGCTGATTTATCAATCTCCCTATGATATTTGATATGATTGGCATTACTGGGAGTATATGAACTAGTAGATGTAGGCGCATATGATGGTGGAGAGTTTAGTCCTGACATTTTTGGAGCTAATTATACAAGCTAACTACATATTATTGTACCCAATTTATATAACTTCTATAATCGCACTGCAGATAAATTAACCATATAAATATACTGATCTAAATGTTCTAAATTCCTCCTGAATCTTCTCTATAATTTACTCTTTATTCGTTACATGCTTAACTTGATGAAGTGTAGCTAATCAATGTATTGTACCAAATTTTTCCCCAATTGATTCGGCCCAAATGCTTCACCATTAAATCCTAATCGCACCCAATCCCATTTAGTATATTTATACACTATCGGTGGCGGATTAAACCTGTGAAGTACGGTGTCAGTTTCATCATATCTTGCATTTACTAATCTGTTGACTAGGTCTTTGCCAAATTTATTTCTTGCCACATCACACTGATTTATTATCCATGACAATAGATATTCGCTGCTTTCTCGATTGAATGGACTAATGGTTATTGGCAACTGTATTTCCATGTCTTTACCATGTACTAGCTTCACCTTAATTATTGCTTCATATCGTATGGAAAATAGTCTACCTAGAGTGGTAAAACCCTGTGTGTGTGTAAGTGGAATTCCTTCAACCACTTTGCTATTTTTCTTATCATTTGTGTATGTCGATACAATATGCTTATTATCTCTCAAATTATTATCAATATAGTTTTTATTGCAATACATCTGCAAATACTCATTATCAAAGGGAAATTCTAAGCGAAATTGATGGGAGACGCCCTGTGTGCTTAGAATAGACTCATCATTCAAAAAACTCTTTGTTTCTGTGTATATCTTATGCTCTTTCTTCAATGGAAGCCCACCTTCATGGCATTCCAATATCTCTTTAATTTGAAATGTTATGAACTTTAATCGCAAATCCTTACTAATTTTGTTGCATAACGGATCCGTCATGGTTTTGACGAACAAAATAATGTCATCTCTGGGTCCTATTGACGACACTGGCAATGATAGTTCCACAAGCACCTGTTTGCAGTTTGAGTTCATCACTTCCGCTATTGGCTCATTGAACTGTCTGTAAATCGGTAGCGTGTCGTACAATTTGATTGGAATGGGAAACGCTTCACTATAGTTGGTCTCAGTATTGTATGTATCACCACACGAAACCTTCACCACAAGACTGTGTGTCGTCATTGCATTCCATTGTGGGTATTGTCCGCTGGAAATAATATCTTTCGGCAACGGTATCAACACGGGTATATCTATACCTAGTAATCTCTCTGAAAATTCTCCTGCTGTGGGCCTGAAAACAAACGGATTTTCGTATATTTTGTATTCTCTAACCGTATCATTTGACCCTAGTGTCGATGGCACGATCACTCTTTGTGTGGTTCTCAATTCTATTCCTACCGACCGAATCATGAATGGAGTGCCATTAAATGGCCGTAACTCAATAACAGTTTCAATACGGGGTATACTTCTTGGAACACCGGGACACCCACATACAACGCTTGTACTTGATGCTCTTAGGCTTGCTATCACTGGTGATACTGTCTTAGGCGGTGACATACTTACCTATTTGTTGATAAGGTATGGAGATCTTCTTTATTTACTTGTCAGAATAAAATATAAGCTATTATTTTTATACAGGATGGGACATAAATATTATGTACTGAAGGAATTTATAAAATGCCAGGAATAATACTATACTTCACAGTAAACTCAGGAAATTTCGCTTTGTAATATGCATATGACTCTAATGAGCTAATGGATAGGTTAACTGCAACAAATGCCCAACCTAGGATGTAGTTTATATCAATAATCGACAATTCTTCGTGTAGGTTACCGATGATTGCAACTATTAAGTATATAATTATCTCGTCAAGATAATGAGCAGATCCAACTATTTGAAACATTCCAAAGTTAGGTACGGAATATTTTAATAGGGTTGATAGGTGGTAATGATTCTGGAACTGGTCAATAGATAGCAATATAAATAACGTAATTAAAATCTTATCAGTGAGATCAAAAGCACCATTAGCAGGAATAATCGCGGTATTCAAATAGTATGGAAGTAAACTGAGGAAACAATTCAATGAGATGGTGGTATAGAAGGCTAGCCCCATAATATAATGAAAGACGTTGATTTTCGCCTTTGAAGAAAATTTTGTGATGTACAAGCTTTCGAGCAATCTACGGAACGACTGAAAGCATAATAAACAGAATATAAGCTTGTAGTGTTTGTAGTTAGCAGGTGCCGATTCCAAAGAGGCAGGCAGCCATGACGTAATAAATGTAACTATGACTGAATTAAGCCTCGAGTCCCTTTGGAGTAGCTCAAGAAAGCAACCGGTACTAACACAGCATCCGAAATATACGATATAAAAATGAAGGAACCATCTTTTGGGCACGGTGATGGACGTTAGATAATTTATTATGATGGATTTTGATTGAGGGTTTTCATAATTTTTTCCATACTTAAGTAGACAGTTTAGAGTCTTAATATACTTAATAAGCAATATGCATATTATGGTTATAACATAGAAGCTCCCTATAAGCTGTTCTAGTGGTCTTTTAACCATTCTTTCTAGTGATCATATAAAGTACCGATGAAAAAATTCTTGAGATTTAGATTTTTATTGACAGATTCTTCGAAGTGCCAAAAAAGTATATTACAGCTGGGGCTACAAGTATGTGCATGTGGCACCCAAATATATGAATACCGATCTGTATAAAGGTTGATTAAACTACTAAGGACGCTACAATGCTACAAAGGGATTTCATTCCATAATAATTTCAGAATATAGTTACATTTATTGACCGGCGTTCTAAACATTAATAAAACAGGCCCATTTAAAAAAAGGTAAATTAATTATAGGCTAATCGTACATCTTGACTTACTTTGTACCAAAGACAGAACCAAGAACAATGGCAAGGATGGCAATAATGATCAAACAGATAACAAGACACCAGATCTTCTTCTTTCTAGCTTTCTTGGCACTGGTGACAGCCTTGTTGGTATGTCCAACCCCTTGTTCAATGTCATGTTGCGCAGTGTGAATTTGTTCATCGATTTGTTGGATTGGTTGGTCTTGTTCAATGATCATCTCTTCCATGTCATGGAACAACTGAGTTAACTCAGCCATAGTCTTTTCTAATTTCAATAATTCACGGTGTCTCACTTGGACCTCATTCAACACAGTTCTAGCTTCACCTCTTCTGTTCGATTGCATTAAAGCTTGTTGGAAGTACTGTTGACTATTTCCGTCTTCGACTGCAGCACGAACCTCGTCATCAGACGCGTCCGGTTTTATAATTCTATACTGTCTTTCAGCTTGGACCTTCGTCTGCTCTCTGTTATTAGACTCCACGACTCTGTATTCTTGAATAATCTCCAAAAATCTCTTTCTACAGCTTTCCGCCTGGTCCATCTTGTGCTGGTCCTTCGACTGCGCAGCTTGCGTCTGCACATTCTTAATACGATTCTTTAAATCATTTTGCAACGATTGGGACTCCGATACTAACGCATCAATCTGTTTCGAGTTGTAATCCGCATCTTCTTCGTTCAAATCCAACTCTTGTACAAAGTTTCTTTGTTTATTCGACACTAAATTGACCAAGTTGGAATACTGATCCAATGAATTGTTTATATCATTAATTTCGTTCATATATGTAACAAAGTCATCCTCGTTCGACCCGGTACCTGATCCGGACGAGTATTTGTTATAATTACTCATTTCATATGAGTTGTTGCCGTATGGATTGCTCATTTTCCCTGCGTATCTTATTTCCTGTATTTTCTCGAGATATCCTTTTTAATTAAACAACTTAGAAATGAACAAATCCTTTTCTTCAATTCAATCACTTATTGATACTCCTTTACAACAAACTAGTTAGATTCCTAGAAAGAATTAGAAAATTTTTCAGTCAATTTGTGTTTTATCAAACAGGTGTACAAAAAAAGAAAGTGACGAAAATTGGCTGAGTTCGTATATACAGGGCTGGTATGGAAGATCAAAAATGCATCATTTAGTACTGATACACCCAAATTAACCCTCCTTATATCATGGATAATACATTTATCCCGTCAAAACATCAAGCAGCCGGTCACGATGGATGTTTGATTTCACTTGGGGATAATTCTATATTTGCTAAGCTAACAAATCAACAAGAAATAGACTTTTACAATGAGACACAAAGATTATCACAAGACGATGAAGATCAGCTATTGGGCAGTAAATTGGCTGATTGGATGCCGGTTTTCATGGGAACGTTGACTCAGAGCGATATTACTAAACATGACCCTAATTCGGTGGTTATGCCAGTACTAAAGGAGGACAAAAAGAGGGTGGAACAGAAATTGGAGGGAGATGGTAAAATTTCAGACGAGGTGGACGATAAGCAGTACATTGTCTTACAGAATTTGTATGGAGGGTACGTGAGTCCGAGTATCTTGGACATAAAATTGGGGTCCAAGTTGTACGATGAGAATACGACGGCCGAGAAGGCAGAACGGTTGGGCAAAGTGAGCGATTCAACCACCAGTGGGTCGTTGAACTTCCGTATTTGTGGCATGAAGTTATACAATAGAAACCTGACACAAATGCCCGCAGTCGTGTTTGAAGGTATGGGAGAGACAATGAGACTAATTACAGATGATGAAGATGCCAACTACATAGAATTCGACAAATATTTTGGTAGGTCATTATCGAAGGATAACGTCATCGATGGCTTAGCATTGTTCTTCGGCCAATTTGAGAATGCCTTCATAAGACGAAAGCTTCTCGAAACGTTTATCAAGCGGCTTCAACTCTTGTACAATTGCTTGTTAGATACTGAGGTGCGGATCATCTCAGGCTCACTTTTGTTCATAGTTGAAAACGATATGCACAAGTGGGAACCCGTCGTTAATAACGACGAATTATATGAAGCACGAGATTCCTTAATACGATCAGATTTTATCGATGACGACGACGATGACGACGATGAAGAGCCAGGCGAAGTGCAAAGCAAACAGGTGGCTAATATTGACGCATCTCCGTTAAGTAGTCTTAATTTTATTGATTTTGCACATGCCAAATACACTAAAGGAAAGGGCTATGATGAAAATATTATAGTGGGTGTCGAAAACCTAATCACAATATTTGAAGTGATATTGGATAAATGTAAATAATAGCCGAACTTGATGATGCTTGTGGTGTTGTTTGCAAACCTCCCATGGAAAAAACACTCTATATTACTGGTGATACAATCTGGAACGCGGAGGTAGAGGATGTATTATCTACACACAACCCAGATATTGTTGTCCTCAATGCTGGTTTTGCTCAACTTATTACCTCTGGTAATATTGTTATGGGTAAGGATAATATTCTTCGTGCACATGCTATACCTAACGCAAAAATAGTTGCTACTCATATTGAAGCCATTAACATTGCATCCTTACTCGTAAGGAACTCGAAGAGTTCTTGATGATCATAAAGTTACTGAGTCTGTTTTCATCCCATAGGATGGTGAAAAGGACAGTCTTTAGCAGTTGCTTGCATATTTGATAGTCTTTTTTTTCATATTTATTCACCAATAAATGATTAAGTATGAGCAAAGCGTCTTGTAGTCATGTAAAAAAAGAAGTTCGTGTCTATTTCACTATGTGGATTCGAGAATATAACAGTTCAAAGCAAAATTGACTAACTCGCTTAAAGGTGAAGCTTATGACTTAAAATTACAAACAATCAGAAGAAAAGTTACAATCACAATTCAATATTCTCTACTTTGAGGAAAATACTGCTTCTCTGTGTGGCGTATTTATCTTTTTTTATTAGATACCATAGAATTAGGAATAATCATTTATTTGTTTATGGTATTCTGGAAAGTAATTAAAGTATTGATGTCCCTTCTTGATTGCATTTTAGAGAATATCGAGAAATATTGAAGAGATTATGTTTATGTTTATAAAATAAAGCTTTGAACTAATATATAAACCACCTTTTTTCAGGTTTTAAATTGGTTATAATTATTCAGACGACAATGTAATTGGTTGTATCTGCTTGCTGTTGTTCCTCCGAAACTGCACCGTTTTCGTCGAAAACAATGCTCAAGCAGACCGATATCCCAAGGTGATGACTCAGTAATTGCCTGGTTCAAGATCCGCGTGCGCTCAGCGTCCTGATAAACTGGGAGTAGCCAGTCAACTTGTGATAATCGTGGAAATTGACCTCCAAGACAACTTCATCATCTCCAAACTTGTCAAGCATCCCAGTGATCGCCAAGGAGTTCGACGGCTTAAGCCCATATCAATGTCATTTTACAATGTACTACATGTATATCTTGTATGCGTATTATTAACCATGAAATATAAAAACCCATAACTCTTTATAAAGATTCTCTTATTCTTTTTTCTCAAAAGGTTTTTGAATCATTAAGCCTCTTTGAACTTCTGGTAAATCATCCAACGTTTCAAACCATTCATTGGTCAATGGCCATTGCTTGATGTCAATGTTTATACGACCTAAAAACTTTGCCCAACCATATACTGCAATGTCAGAGATACAGTAATGATTAGCGACAAGATACGGGCCATTTTCTTTATTTCTGTGCAAGTATTCTTCTATTACAGAAAATAGTCTCTTAGTTTCATCATTAAACCTTTTAATACTATATTCAATTTTCTCGGGTGCATACAAAAGAAAATGGTTTACTTGCCCTTGCATTGGCCCAACTCCAGCCATTTGAAAATACAAAGTTTCTAACTGATGATAGTAATGTTTTGTGCCTACCTCATAGGAAAATTTATGCTCCTTATCATAAGTATCAACAAGATATTGCAAAATTGCCCCAGACTCGCTGATCGTAACCCCCGCACTCGAATCAACCAAAGTTGGAACCCTTCCGTTCGGATTCAATTCAAGGAACCATTCTTCCTTTGTTTCATTTTTAAAAATATCCATATACTGGCAATCATATTTGATACCTAACAATTCCAACAATATAGAACATTTATATCCATTAGGTGTTGTACAAGAATAAAGTTTTAAGGCACTCATCGTTTAACTTTAAATATTAAATATGTTAATATTAAATATATTGAATATATTGATATTCTACATTAGCTAACTTTACAAACGGATATAGTTTCAATTTAAATACTTCCGATTCATATCTATTATTAAAAATACTATGGTGTTTTCTGAATATGTTACTTTCAAAATTGTAATTAATAAGATTACGCTATATGATAGTCTAAAGTTGCATTTTGAGTGGCTTGTGGGTTTTGACTCAAAAGGTAACCGAAAACGATTAATAATTTCACTGCAGTAATCATTTCGCACGTTAGGTTTAAGGCGTGCAAAAACCAATTATCTCGTTACTAACATAAATTAGTAATGAGAGATGGTGAAAATTTAGTAATGAAAGGTAGTGTAGGTTTCAATATTAACAAATGCCTATCTGTTTAAAGAAATGATGCGGGACTATGCGCAAGAATATGCGCAAGAATTGGAAGTATTTAATTTGCATCAATTCTCTCTTTCAACATGGTTTTAGTTTTGGTCTTTAGAATATTATTTTTTAATTAATATGAGTAAGCTTTTAGTTATTTTTGGTGTGACCGGTCAACAAGGTGGTTCTGTTGCGAAGTATGTGATCAATGATCCCGAATTATCGAATATTTACAAGGTTAGAGGTATCACTCGTGATTCATCCAAGCCATCTGCCCAGGCTCTTCAGCAGAAAGGAGTGGAATTAGTTAATGCAGATATGGCCGACAAGGAGTCTGTCAAGCGTGCATTGAAAGGTGCGGATACTGTGTTTGCTATGACAAGTGCAACATATGAACTGATTTCCAAACAAGAGAGAACCCAGGGAAAGCGTTTAGTGGATGCTGCTGTTGAAGAAAAAGTGAAGTATTTCATTTGGAGTACACTTCCACATGTTGAGAAGATTTCGGAAGGTAAGATACTTGGAGTCCTGCATTTCGATGAAAAAGCTGAGGTTGAGGAGTATCTCCGTAGTAAACCTATAAAGAGTGCTTTTTTCTCTCCAGCAATGTTCATGCAAAACTTTAATGCTGATTTTAGTCCAAGTCCTCTCGGCGATGGTACCTATGGAATCTTCAATATCATTAACCCAGACAGAAAAATTGCTTTTATTGATATTGCTGGCGACGCTGGGAAATTCGTTGGTGCAATTCTTGCAAACCCTGATAGGTATGAAGGGAAGGTTATTTCTGGGGCAGCAAATCTTTACACGATGAATGAAGTTGCCCAAAATATAAGCGAAGTCAGTGGAAAGACAGTTAAATATAATCAAGTAACTGAAGAAGTCTTCCGTGGTTTCTTACCACCTCAAGCAGCTGATGATCTTGTTGGAATGTTCAGACATATTAACGACAATGGTTATTTTGGCCCTCAAATGAAAGATTTAGTTGAATCAGGCGTCAAACAAGCTAGGGGCAATGTTACGACATTGAAAGAGTATTTTACTAAGAATCCTCCTAAATTTGAGTAAGTAGATGTCAGCAAGGTATTTACGAATTTATATGAAAATCAATCAAATAAACAAGTATTTTACGCAGTATACAATATATATTCAGAACATTGTATTAGCTTAGAATAATCGATATTGAAAGATAGGAACTGTCCCAAACAAGTGTATGCGTTTGCATTGGTCAAATAATAGAGATCTTTACTGTGTGTCTAAAACATTGCCTTGTTTCGGGTGACGAGTAACTAAACTACTACTTCAGTATTCATTATTAAGTCTTACATGTTGATCAAAGTAATTTTGCAATGTATCATTTGGTTATGATCTAAGTAATATTTAAAATATTGGGGACCGGCCCCAAAGGTGTAATACCGTTGGGATTGATACCGGGATGAGACTTAGTGTAATGGTATTTGATATGATCGAAATCGGTTGTTTCCTCGAAACCTGGAACCTTCCAGTATAAAAACCTCAACCATCTATGGATATTAGGGTAATTATGTCTGATCATCCCTAAATTACACTTGAAATGTTGATAATATACGGCATCGAATCTAACAATCGTGGTGTATAATCTAATATCGGCCTCGGTAAGCTTGTTGCCTACTAAAAATTCGCTCTTATTAGGACCTTCGTAATTCTTGGCCAAAATATTTTCAACCTTGTCAAGATGATGGAAAACATTCGTCACTTCCTTGTCGTAAACTTCTTGTTTAGTCGCGAAACCTGTCTTATAAACACCACTGTTGATATTAAATTGAATCCACGAAGTGATGTCATCGATAGTCTCTCTCAATTCTTGTGGGTATAAATCTAATTCAGCATACTTAGATGACAAAAATGAGTTGAATTCACTATGAAGCATCCGCATGATTTCACTCGATTCGTTGCTCACAATAGTTTCCAACTTCCTATCCCATAAAACCGGAACAGTGAATCTGCCTGAATACTGTGGATCTGCCTTGAAGTATAATTGCTTGAGTCTTTCAAATCTGTACAAATGGTCTTCAGTACCGTTCAGAATATCACCTTGTGATGACCTCTTGCTAGCTTCTTCCTTGTTAATAAATCTCCATCCACCATCATCCATGTGCCAGTGGACAACCGAAACTGAAATAATTTGTGTCAATCCTTTCAATACTCTAGTTACTAATGTTCTGTGGGCCCATGGACAGGCCATTGACACATACAAATGATAACGGTTTAATTCAGGTTTAAATTTGGCACTTTCCGCACTAGAAATGAAACTACGGAATGTAGATGGTTGTTTCTTAAAAGCCCCCGATTCATCAGCAAAATTCAGGTTCCCAAGCTGTTTATTCTCTTTATTTACAGACATTTCATAAGTCAAGTGAAGGCTAAATTATCTAATTGTTTCTGTTTTAGGTTATCCAGAATATGTTTAATTGTTTAAATAGGATTTAATTCTGTGAGAGTGCACATTATATAATTTCTATATTATAATATAGGTCCGTAATAAGATCTTGAACTACCCTTAGTACTTACTAATACAGGGTCGTGTTATTTTATAATCCTCTGAACGACCTTATAAACACTTATTGCGAAATCTATATTAGTAAATTCAATATATTTCTAATTACATAATGATCTGCGTTTAGTAAGCATTAAAACGTATATAGTCGAATTATTGCAGCCTTCGCGATTTTAGTATCTATATACTACCGTTGCCTATATAGACCAATCAAATTAAATTCAGAATATTAATAAAATGCTCAAGCCAACTGTCGCTATTATCGGTACTTCTGGCTTTTTAGGTAAGTCTACGTTGAACGCTTTTCAAAGTTCAGTTTTTGCAGACAAATTTCAATTCCCCATTAAAGCATTATCCAGATCAGCCAAGACATCGACTGATAAAATCGAATACGTCCAAGGTGATTTGAATGAAGGAATCAATAAAGTTGTCGATGCATTTAAGGGTGTCGATGTCATAATTGAATTATCTAGTTTACTGGTGTACGGGCCAGTTGAGACTTTGGTTAAACAAGTTAAACCTAAGTTATTTATTCCTTCGCAATTTGGAACAGAAATTGACAAATCTGATAAACTTTTCCCTGGATTTCAGGATTTTAAGACGAAGCACTCTAATGCTATTAGGGATGCAGGGATCAAGGTGGTCGATGTTATGACCTCGTTATTTGGTCCCCCAGGACCTTTCCCATACGAGATAATGGGACAAGTGGGCATTGACGCAGAATCAAAGACTGTTACTTACAGAGGAGATCCTGATACCAAGGCTTCCTTTACCAGTATTAACGATGTCGGTAGATCTATTGCGGCAGTTGCGGCCATTGATTTTTCAAAATTACCTGACAAAATTAGAGTACAGTCTGGAGAAATAACACCTCGTCAAGTTGTTGAAAGATACGAAAAAACCCACAATGCAAAGCTTGCCGTTAAAGTCGAATCTGCTGAAGAAGCATTAAAGACCGCCCAGACTAAGTATTCTCAGAGTTACAAACCTGCTGACTTCTTGTATTATTCTAGTGTCATACTTTTCCAAGGTGTTGATAAAGGTCTAGCATTTAGGGAAAATGATAATGAATTGATCAATCCAGACAGCAAGTTGTGGACTTGGGATAAATTTTAGTGCATGGATGTTAATCCTACAAGTGTTATGTAGAATATAATTATAATTAACAATTATGAAATGAATGTAACAACGAAGCTTTATTTTCTATAGTGTAAGAAAACCGTCTGCATATCTGCTATCTAAAACAGGAAACTAGATTAAATTATATAAAATATAGAATAAAAAGTACAGTTATTTATTGACCTTATAACACTTTAGTAATTTTACCGATAGCAATGGTGGTACCTTGATCTCTCAAAGTAAATCTACCTAATTGTGGGTAATCAGCATATGTCTCCGCGCAGACACTTTCGCTAGTTTCTAAGACAGCAATGACCTTCATACCTTTCTTAGCAAATGCAGGTGGTTTCTTGGATTTTCTATTAGTACCCTTCTCTAACTTATGCTTTAATTCGATAAAGGTGACTTCTTCAATGGCAGTATGTAAATGCATGACACATGAGAAACCATTAGATAAAATAGACTTTAATTCAACGATAGCAATTTGAGCTTCGAATCTAGTAATAGTCTTGATTGGCTTTAATAGAGAGGTCAAGACGTAACCTGGAGCTAAATCTTCTTCTTCTACACCCTTGATCTTTAATCTAACTTGTTCACCACAATATGCTGCATCACATTCTTGTTCAGTTTCATTGAAAATTGTGACAACTTCAATAGATGCTTTATTAGGCATTAATAATAAATTTCCACCTTTCTTAATATGACCACTTTCAATCTTACCTTCAATGATAGTACCCATATCCTTCATCTTACCACTAATTGGCAACATAAATGGACCGTTGATATGACGTTGCATGGTTTTCATGTTATCTAAAAATTCCAATAATGATGGACCAGAGTACCATGGACAGTCCTTTGGATCAACTCTGTCCTTGATACCAGCACCAGTATATCCTGAAACAGGCATGAAGATTATATCATCTTTGGCGTATCCGATACCCTTTAAGAATGTCCCTAATTTAGTGATACAATCCTTATAACGATCTTCCGCCCAACCAACAGTTGGATCATCCATCTTGTTAACAACAACAATAATCTTGTTAACACCTTGAGTTTTAGCTAACAAAGCGTGTTCTCTTGTTTGACCACCCTTTTCGAAACCGGTTTCATATTCACCCTTTCTGGCAGAAATGACTAAAATACCAACATCTGCTTGAGATGCACCACCAATCATTTCAGAAACGTACATTTTATGGCCTGGAGCATCTAAGATGGTGTATCTTCTCTTCTCGGTTTCAAAATAAGCCTTACCGACTTCGATAGTCTTACCGTCACTTCTTTCTTCTTTGTTGGTATCCATAACCCATGATAAATACCAACCTTGTCTACCGGCATCTTTAGCTTCTCTTTCATATTTGTCGACTGTTCTCTTATCAACAGAGCCAGTTAAATATAAAATGTTACCACCCATTGTCGACTTACCTGCATCAACATGACCCATGAAAATGATAGAAACGTGGTCCTTACCACCAAACATATCTTTGACAACTTCTTCATCAACTTCATCAACTTGTTCTTGGATCACCTTATCAGCAGTAATAACCGGAGTTGACTCCTTAGTGGCGGCTTTAGAAGTAGACTTAGAAGCAGCCTTAGATTCAGATTTAACTGAAGCTGGTGTAGCCTCCTTCTTGGCTGGAGCCGGGGTAGTTTCCTTTTCGGTGGCAGCTGGGGTAGTTTCCTTTTCAGTTGCAGCTGGGGTAGCTTCCTTTTCTGAAGCAGCCGGAGTGGCTTCCTTTTCGGTAGCAACAGGAGTGGCTTCCTTTTCGGTGGCAACAGGAGTGGTCTCCTTAGATTCGGTTTCTGGAGCCTTCTTAGCATTGGCTAACTTAATACCAGAAGAAGAAGCCAACTTCAAAGTCTTCTTAGGCTTATTTAAATTAGCTTGCGCATTCTGCTGCTTTTGGAAATCGGCCAATGACATGCCCTGGTTTTGCACTGGTTGTTGGTCTTGTTGGTTGTAATTATTATAGTTGTTGTATCCACCTCTGTTGTTGTAGTTATTGTATCCACCTCTGTTGTTATTCTGGTATCCCTGGTTGTAGTTTTGATATCCTTGGTTATAATTTTGGTATCCTCCTTGAGAATAATTCTGGTATCCTCCTTGGTATCCTCCTTGATATCCGCCTTGGTAGCCTCCCTGGTAACCTCCTTGTTGTCCACTCGGTGTAAAAGTTGGAGCGCTATTAGCATTGAAATAGTTCTGCTGTGGTTGTTGTTGATACTGTTGGTACGATTGTTGCTGTTGTTCACCACTTCCAATTGAGGTGTTTTGGAAATCTTGAGACAACTTGTCTTGATTGTACTGTTGATCGTCAGACATTCTGCTCAGTTTGCAATTACTTTCTTCTAAATCAAACGAAAGCCTAAAAACTATTGATCTTCTATAGTATCAATCTAAATTTTCAAAAAAATTTTCATACTGCGAAGAACCGGTCTTTTTGCACGTGTAGATATGGTCGGTTTATAACAATATTCGTACATTCATTATGCTTCTATATATATATACAAATATCTCTAATGTAGATGTGCTATAGGACTCGTAGAATGGCGTTCATCTAGTCCGATGGAGGTTTGTCGTTTTCAAGAAAAGTTTGGAAAAGTGGGTCGTCTTCAGCTTCAAAAGCTTGAGGTGTGCCTTGGCCTGAAGATTGCAACCATTTAGCCAAACATGTACTCTTATGCATTAATTGAAATTCTTCTCCAGGAAATTTACCCACACCAATCTTCTTGCCGTGTTCTTGCGGATTGCAAGTGCATTTGTTCTTAATATAAAAATCTGTGTTTAATGGGCAAAGTCCTAAGGCTTGGGTCCGAATCAGTACTGCCAAATTATCGAAGAAGTGGACTTGGTTTGTGTTGAGGAAAAGTGAAGTGGCTATGGTCTTGATCACCGGTTCGCTCCAGCTTTCGTAGTAGAAGCCGTTGAACGCGTCTATGTAATTGAAGAAATGCTGGTATTGGGTGGATTTGAAGAACGACAAATCCACTAATTCGAATTCTGTATCAATAGAACACGAATTTATCTTCCAATCCGCGTTTGGATCCTGCAATGCTTTAGGATCCATACCGTCACCAAGAAGGAAATGAAAGTTGTTGCGGGTGGGTCCCGATTCAGTCATAAAATCGTTGTTTGGATCGAGAATATACTTTTTTACGGCATTGAACAAGCTAGGATGGAGATGAGGATAGTCTTGTCGCATCAACAGCCATCCATACTTAATATTATTTTGTTTCATGTATTTGAATACATCATAATTGACTTCGCAATTCAATTGCGAACCTAGCGGCACTTTCCAGTAATAATCATAATCTTTCCAAATGTTATCCAAATTATAAAAATGGCCCGTCGAGAATCTTGCAAAGTGTCTCGCTTGTAACATATTCTTGGATCTCAACAATTTCGGGAAATTTGTATCCCGTCTTGTTTGTCTTACCTTTTGTTTGTCAATTCCCGGGGGATATACTATAAGTTGTGACAGATACTTCATATCCATAAATTTTACATTGGATCCGGGCTTCGTCAAAGCCGTTATATCTTGCTGAAGCAGAGACAACATCGCCCTGTGTGATATTATAACCCAGTCGTAATTGTATTTTTCGTTAAACTTCTGTTGGTAGCTTCTTATTGTTGGCATCACTTGCGGAATATCAGCTTTATTCTGCACTAAAATCACCATAGCCGCCCTCTCTTTCTCGTTTTCCTGTTCTTCCACCATATTTTCCATTTCCCCAGTTTCCGTATCACCCGCCGAGTTGGAAGCTTCATTAATCCCGTTTGCTGATTGACCTCCGTTCACATCCTGTTCTTCTTCTTGCTTCTGCGCCGAGTGTGTTTGTACGGATGTTCCATAGAAATTCACATTATTCAAAGTATCCTTATCGTCTGCTTCGTTAATAAATCTAAAAACTTTATTATTTTGAACTTCAGATACTAGATCTTGACGACTTCCGAAAACTAAGTGCTGACCGATAAAAAGAAGCAGAAGGATGCAAAGCACAATAAATATCCTCAATAACCGTTTGTTAGGTCTATATATGACATCTTTCACTGTGTTTGAATCATTAGACATCGTATTTGTTCATTCAAACAATCTCGCACCTAATATTTATTAAAAAATGAAAACAATATAGCAAGAGAAAAGATTCGATGTTTTTTGCGAATAGTGCAACATCAGTGAGTGAGGTTTTAGCACAGAATTAGTATGATAATTTACTTTGTCAAAGAAGCACTTAATATTTTATGTATACGATATAATCAATTGTTACGTGGAAGGATATTGCTATAATCTAAATTAAATTCCAATGCCAGTTTTCGGAGAGCGTAATATTACGTCCATTACCATTAAAGTTAATCAATTATCAACCCCACAGGAGGATGACTCTGATAAGCCAGTTGAACTTTATTTATCGGACTTGATACATTTAATCCAGATCCAGCCTACCACTGGGGCATCTGAATCTGCCAGGGCCATTAGAAAGAAGATAAAATATGGAGAATCTGTTAAGGTACAATTAAAGGCTCTAAGTGTTCTCGAGTTGTTGGTTTTAAACTCAGGGCCGAAAATCGGACCCACGATAGCTAGAGATGACAAGTTACACGATGTATTAAAAGGTATAATCAATGGTAACGGTAAGACAGGTTCAGGAGCAAGTTATCATGTTGATGTCCAGCGCAAGGTTAGAGGATTAGCCAGAGGATGGAAATCTGAATTAGCAGATATGAGTGATTATAAACCATTGGCGACATTATGGAAAGCGATTCCTGGGGTTAAACATGGCAGAACACATTCTAGAAGTACTAGTGAAAATGTATTTGGGTCTGAAATCGATGACCAGCCAAAATCACCAAGGCCTTCGAGTCACAAGAAGGTTCCGCCACCCCGTCCAGCCAAATCATCACCATATTCGGTCGCAGACGAGAAACCTAAAAATACCAAAGGTAAGAAGAAGAAGAGAAGAAGAAAGACTGGAGGTGTACGTTATGCTGATGAAGAATATCAAATCCCTCAAATTAACTATAATGTTGAGGCACCTAGAATTAGAAGTGTCATTGCAGATTGTCATACGCATACAACTACGTTAAATAATCATTTAATGTCATTCCCATCAGGAGTGTCACCATTGGATGATGAGAAGTGCTCGAGCGAGTTCGACAAGTGTCGCTCTATAAGACGGAAAGTCTTGAGATACTTGCAATATGTGGGTGCAGGAGATGCAACGACAAAGAATGCTGAAGTCCTAGCTATGGATGAAGAGTTTTTAGGGAGCTTAATTGTCGCCAATGAACAATTGGTGGATGCTTTCAAAAATTTTGACAAGGCTTGTGGTTATACTGCAGAAAATCCAGCACCAAACTATGATGACGACGATGTCGATAGTGAAGGATACGAGAGCTATTATACTGATGAATCATCAAGCTCAGATACTGAGCAGGTCACAGGTGACTTATCCAATGTAAATTTAGCAGAGGAAGGCCCGTCCAGTGCATTACAAGATAAAAAGTCTCCACCTCCAATACCTAAATCAAAGCCAACCGGTTATACAAACAGAAATCTCGCCAAAGTTGAAACTAATGCTAGTGTTTCCAGTGACCCCTTTGGTGATAGGAATGAAGTATGAACTGAAAAATGTTGGTTCTGGTTGATCTGTTTTCAACCGATTCTTTTTTTATATACGATAGAAAAGCACACTTTAGTTCCGCAGGACCCTTCGGCCACCTCCATCTACATGTTTTATAACTCTAGGTTTTTAGACGGTTGATATCATAAGCTAATAACCAATCTCACTCGAATAGATTGCGAAATCGATTCTAAATAGATAAACCTATTACTTTATCATACATCGTGTAGGCGATTCTGTCTGCGTTTTTAGTTACAAGAATTTAAATTGAACATTGTCCCTTTAATATTGTCTACATATTTTCTAGTAATCGTCAAAAAAAACCTTCCAATTGAATTACTCCAAACTGCCCAGTATCGGTATACAGAAACACACTCATTATAAATCCAATTTTAAAGCGTATTATGAATTACGGTTACAGTTTACTTTATATGAGAAATAGAAAGTTCCACCTCTTAGCAGCGTCTTTCTGTTATCCATATCTGACATTCTCTTTGTTTCAATCGAAGATAAAAATTATGCGAATTGATCTGCAATATTTATTTCATGCTTTCTAAATACTCCAAACATAGTATCCTAAAAATAGATTATACCACTGAAGATATCTTCAACTGGATGAATTGGTTGTGGATAAAGTACAATTATTGAATGTCTAATAATGTCTTCAAATTATGACAACGAAATACCGAATAAACGAAATATCGACGAGTATGGAGTAAAAAAAGCGGATAGGAGGTATAAGCCAAATTTTCCAAAAGATATGCCAAAACTACCTTCAATTGAGGATTTCAAGTTAGATCGTATTATCTGTGATGATTTGAAGGAAGAATCACAGGAAGTTGTGGATTCAATGATAAAAGTGGCGTCGAGTTACCAGAATGATTTGAAGAGTGAAATTCGGAGAAAACTCTCCATTGAACAAAAGATCCAGTTCAAAAACATTGAAATTGCAAAGATAGCACATTCATTGAAAAAGAATATTACATTAAGGAATAAAAAATTAAGAAAGGCTATAAGTAATAATGGTAATGCAAATAGTGTGCATAATAATTCGGCGAGTTTACTTCTGTTAGGCACGGAAAGTACCATTGATGACGAAATAGAAATGCTATTGGAGTTATCAGCAAAGGCATCTGGTAAGATTCGGGGATTGACCCAGAGACTTTCAAAAATAGACCACAGAGTGAATAAGATGAAATCGGATGAAATACTAGGACAACCGAACTCCCGGAGAAAACAAGAATATCCGTATATACATAAAATGCTTGCTGGCAAAGAAAGAAAGCCAGATATTAAAGTAATACCATCCGTTAATAAAGTTTCGGGCGGAAATTTGACTGAAAGGGAACCAATGTCTTTCACTGCGAAACCAGATGTAAAAAGTAAAGAACAGCCATCCATAAAAACCTCAAAGAATGAACCAAATACGTATGGCACACCAATTTTGGAAGACGAAGAAATGAATGCAGAGCAATTTGAGCTATTCATGTCTTCTTCTATAACCAAATATAGGGAACTTCAGCTGAATAAGTATAGCGACCTTGATATATTTATGAACCCAGCACACAGCAAGAACTATGAATTCAATAACAATGAATTTTTCGATGAGAATGATCGAAGTACTATTGATCCCTCTGTAAGCTTGTCTACCTTCAAATCAGGTAACCCGTTGAGCTTATTATATTCATCCATAATTAAAGATCCAAAATCAAATGGCCAAAGATTGGCAGTTCGTCCGTCATTAGGCGAAATTACCATGAATGTAAAATCCCCAGCAACTGTTAAACCAACTTTTCAAACGTCACATTTCAAAAAACTAAGAATCAATGGATCCCCAATTACTTCTGAAACGTTCCTGAAAATGAAGGAGAGACCATCCTGTGAATGCAATAATCACGAAGATGATGATCATTTATCGCATTTCAGTGATATAAGTGAGGATTCTATGGCAAAGAGAGCATTAACTGATTCGCTAGTGGCTTTGGAGAACTTTCATGTAAGTAGTGACGATACGTCAGGATTAAATACTGAGCCTGAAGACAATGATATAGAAAGCGAGCCCGCTATAACCTCAGAGTCTTCAGATTTTGATTCATTGAGTAGCGAATCAAGCGATAACAAAACCAACATGTATGCCGACCAATACTACTCATTACTCAAAGCTGATTTGAAGAAAAAGAAAAAGAAGAGACTACACCTAGAAAGAACCCAACAGATTCACAAGCGTCGTATGTACCAACGAAAAGATATGTCGCCTACACCAAAGCATAAACCATCGCATCACTCTTTAAAGCCCAAAAGATCCATATTGAAGTTGCCGCCTACAATGAAAGTGCAATCAAACTCACATGTTCCTTCGCATGCTAGAATACGAAAGACAGATGCAGTAAAAAGCAACACTAAAAATGTCCGCTATGCATTGAATACACCAGAGATCAAGAACATTAATATCAATGCTCGGCCTACTGCTGGCTCAAATAGTATCAATGATTTTACAGTGACTGGTACAATGCTTCTTGCCAGGCCAAATTCTGGCGAATCGAGTAGCAATGATAATGACGAGAATGAAGTCGTTCTGTGGAACGGTCTCCCTCAGGAACCCCATGACGACAATGCCGACGTTATGAGTCTAAAATCAATATCCAGATTAAAGGGCTTTTTATAAATATCTTAACGTCTTTTATTAAAATGAAACTAGGTTATATAGAACCGTATAGATTTATATCCTATGACTATATGAACACGGAACCAATTGAATTATATGTCGTTTACAGAGCCACAGATTCACCATGCAATGTAGGGCATTCCTAAAATAGCCATACCCAGAAAAACCATATCGTTATCACACCAAACACCAATAACCACATCCTCCAGCTTATACCCGCCCTCTGACTCATTACAATCATTTTATTCCAGGTATTCTTTAATGTTATTTTCCCCTTTTCCATGGTATTGGTTATTTCATCGTTTAATTTAACAGATTTATTGATTTCTGTACCCATTCTAACTCCCAAATTTTTCAACAAATTAACCTTTTGACTCATCGTATCGACCTCATCATTATTCTGTGATTCAAGCGACAGTAAATAAGATTCGTTGTACTTTGCTGATGCGGCTGGGGCTTTATCATATGGAGAATCTGACCTTGAAATTGGTGTATTATTAGCAGGACTTCTTTGTGGCGTAGCAAATAATTGTGTCCTTAAGTCTCTCTGATGTGCTCCACCATTATTGGAGTATCTTGAACTCATGTTGCCTTTAGAATCCTAGATTATCTTCAAAAACAGATTAACAAGTGATTATTGAAGTATCATTTTGAACACCGCGTATTCAAAATGGGCTCCAAAAAAAATTCAATATCAGATTAGAAGATTAGTAAGACAAAAAGGACTTCTTTTCAAGATTTGCAGACAGTTGAAACCAGTTGAAAGCTATAAAGAATCGAAGGCTAGTTTAGAATAAACTAATAGAAGATGGATACATCGGAGTCTCAAGAGAGTCCAAAATCGTTACTGAATGTCAAGCATATAATATTAATATTATCAGGTAAAGGAGGAGTTGGAAAATCATCTGTTACTACGCAAACAGCATTGACGCTTGTGAATAAGGGGTTTAACACTGGAGTTTTGGATATAGACTTAACTGGTCCATCTTTACCCCGGATGTTTGGGGTGGAGACCAAGCAGGTGCATCAGTCGTCAGCAGGATGGGTTCCAGTATCAGTGTATAATAACGGACAAGCACAGGAAAAAAATGAACAAAATAAGAGGGGAAACCTATCATTAATGTCGCTAGGATTCTTGATAGGAAATAGGAATAGTTCTGTGGTGTGGAGAGGTCCTAAGAAGACGGCGATGATAAGGCAGTTTCTCAAAGACGTTGTGTGGAACGGTGGGGAAAATAATGTTCCATTAGATTACTTGTTGATTGATACACCACCAGGAACGTCGGATGAACATATAGCAATAGCAGAAGAGTTACGGTGGGCAAATCCAGATGGGGCTATTATTGTTACAACGCCGCAGCAGGTTGCAACAGCTGATGTCCGTAAAGAGATCAATTTTTGTAAGAAGGTCAATTTTGATGTACTCGGTGTTGTGGAGAATATGAGCGGTTTCATATGTCCCCATTGCTCTGAATGCACGAATATCTTCCTGAGCGGTGGCGGGAAAGAACTAAGCGAGAAATTGGACTTGAAATTTCTTGGTAATATTCCAATAGACCCAAGTTTTGTGGAAATGGTGGAAATGCAAGACAATGAACAGAATGATGGAAAGAAAAAGTTGATTGAATTGTATGATGACTGTGAATTAAAGGGAATTATGGAAGGTATTGTCGATAAAGTATTAGAACAACAGCACCCGGCAAGGTTTTAATTGGCATTTTTTGTATATATTTAAAATGAAAGTAATGAAGTTCTTCCTGAAACAGGAACGATGGAATTAATATACACTATTAAAATTAAGAAAAGATTTATGCAAATATATAAGGTATAGTACCGATTTACTCAACATTATGGGCTTTTTTCCATTTAGTGATTCTTCTTCTTAAGTCACCAGCACTTTGTTGGTATATATTCAACTTCTTGTCCCACATCATCTTATCATAATCATCGCCATGTTTCTCGTATAACTGTTCTAACCATTCATTTTCTCTGGCAGAAGGCTTTCTCTCTTTTTTAACCTGTGCGTGCTTTTGAGCATATTCTTCTAACTGTTTAATCACAGAAGAACTCTCCCCTTTCGTTTCAGCCTTTGGACCCACTTTCATTGTACCGTAAATAACATTGGTCACTTCATTAGTTTCAGGATCTCTGATTATACGAGCTTCACCTTCCGGTATCTTGGCTGGGTCAGTTGTTTGCTCGATGTCAGCAAGTGATGGCTTTGAAGTTGCCTCTGCGGCCTTTATTTCAGACAAAGTCTTAACATCTTGTTCTTTCCCCCCGGCCAATGTTCCCAACTTTGCTCTCAAACCAAGCTTTTTATAATTTTGTTGTAAAGTCAATGATTTATCCCAATTAGCAGCAATGATTGGGTTCGAATGAATATTAATATTCTTCTTTTTATCCTTGACTCTTCTCGTATTCTTACGAACCGATGAACGATTCATCTTTCTCTTTCTTACAGATACCATTTCGGTCTATATTATATACTATCTCTTATAAATAATAAGCAATACACTCTTATGTGCTTGAGATGAGTAGGACATATTTTTTTTAGTACTGAAAAAAAAAAAAAAAATTTGGTGATTATTTATATGCAGACTCGATTTAATATATACATAGTCTACAACAGGCATCCTTAACATGCAATAGTATGTAAATTAAGACTAGCATACACACATAATCATCAGGTGTATCATATGGGAGATTGTCAAAAAGAAAGGGAAAGTGAAAGAATAAAAACATATAAAAAATAGAATAATAATATTAACAGGTCCTATCAACTCAGTGTAAGACCCGACTCCCATAAACACTTCACATGGAAAGTATTGGTAGGTTTGGTTCCCCAATAAGGTTATATCTACTCTTCCTTAGGAGCTTGTTCTGTATTTTCTTCGAAGTTTTTTTCGTTTTCGTCTCCAGAGTCACCACGACCCCTACCACGAAATCCGCCACGTCCTCTACTTCTGAAGCTACCACGTCCTCTTCCACGTCCTCTTCCTCTAAATCCACCTCTCTTTTTGAACCCAGGCAAATTGGTTCTCTTAGGAGTAACTCTCAAGTCCCTGCCTCTGAACTCCTTGCCGTGTAATTCTTCAATTGCCTTCTCCACGCTTTCAGTTGTCTCAAACTCCACGTAAGCATATCCTTTCGGCAACCCAGAATATTTATCAAACAAGATAGTTATCCTTTCAATTACTCCGACAGCTTTGAAAAATGATTCCAATTGCTCAGGAGTCGATTGATAATCAACATTTCCCACGTACACCGAGCGACTATCGATCTCTTCTTGTTTCGCCAACCTCTCGGCACGTTCTTCCTCTGTCTCCTGTGGTCTCCTTGTTAGTTCCTGCTCCGGTTGTTGTTCCGGTTGTTGTTCTGGAATTGTTACATCTAGCTGTGGTTGTGGTTGTGGTTCGGCTATTTCACTCATATTGATTTTTCGTGTTCAATTCCTTCGTAACTTTCCTTCTTCTTGAATTATTCAATTGATCTAAGTATATCTTCGTCTTATAAACTATTTATACTTCGAGACTGATATCAATTCAGATACAATTCAGAAATACTATTCTTATAAAACTAGGGTCTAACCTCACAATGTATCCGAAGGCTTTCGCTTAATAAAAATGACACGGGGAAAATTGGCAGATACGTAGATCATACGAATTAAAACAATATTATGTTTCTATAACTGCTACATATGTAGTACTAAAGGCAACTATCAAAGCAGTTATTCTGCTTCGACAAAAGCTCTGTATGTAGTGAATTGTTCATCCAGGGAAGCAGAAACCAAATCGATTTCGACACCTGGGGCAACAAAGTAGACATCACCGATATTAACCTGTTTAGCATCACTTTCACCCTTAATCTTTACAGAACCATTACCATTAATACAGATGAAAATAGATGGACCATCAAATGCATCGAAATGTTGGGTTGCGCCAGCCTTTTTGTCGAAGATGGTCTGTAAAACAGCAAATTCAGCGATTGGTGGATCATATAAGACAGACTTGACAGCATCTCCTCTGGACTTCTTGAATGGAAGCAAAGGCATCTTTTGCTTGTCGACTGATTCGTATGAGTAGGTCAACATTTCAACCAAGTTCTTGACATCTTTGAACTTTGGGGTGAATCCTGCCCTGACGACATTATCAGAGGCAGCCATACATTCCATAATGTCCCCATTGATGTACGCATGAGGATCCTTGGCTTGCAAAAACATAGCTTCACCAGCAGCCAAACAAACGTGGTTCAACAACAAGCATCCACAAAACAACCCAATGTCATTAGGAAATTGTTTATTCAAGCGTTGTATTAATTCCGACAATTTAGGCGAGATGACACCAAATAATTCTGGCTCGGACTTGGTTCTCTCAACCAAAGATTCAGCCTTCTTGGCGATAATGGCTTCGTCGGTGTTCATCAATTGACCAAAAACCTTTTGTAACAACTTTCTGTTGGCCGAATCTTCTTGCGAACCTAATTCAGCTTCTGGCTTGATTCCCTCAACAAATTCAGAGAATATTTCGTCTCCAATCACTTCCTTAAGTTCAGGGATAGTTTGTAACGTCTTAGCCAACTCTGCTAATGGCTTGAACCCACAGAATCCTTCGAAATCAGTGACTGCAATAGCCATCTCTGGCTTGTGGTTGTCATCTGGGTAGTTCTTAGGATCAGCAGCGTGTAATTGTGCTCCCAATTTCTTATCTGGGTGTGCTTGTATAGACAACACCTTCTCGATAGATAAAACCTTAAATAAGAACGGTAATTCCTTAGAAGATCCAAACTTGTCTATAATAGATTTATGTAAGTACTTTTCCGGTTCTTCTCCGACCAAATCTCTCAAAGTCTTACCAGAGTATTTACCAGCATCCACAGCAACTGAGGGAACAGAAGGATGAGTACCCATCCATAATTCGGCATATGGTTTTGATTCATCAACCTTAACACTAGGGTTAGCACTGGATGCAAATTGGGCAACGGCGGAACTGGATCCAACCTTACCCCAATCGTAATTTTGGTAACCACAATCGATTTTGAACAATTTATCTGACATTATAACTATTATCACTACTAAATATCAAGTCAAAGTATAATGAATATGGAAACGTTGTCTATTTAAGTACGAAGAAAACACGCGTTGAACAATTTCGGACTTTTTCATGATTACGTAACTGTTATTATATGTTCTGTTATTCATTAGATTGACCGTATAACGAAACATATCCGTAATAGTGACCCATGGATTGGATAGAAACCACTAGTGGGAATAGGATCTCAAAGAGATCGAAAATATTTGGGTCAAATAGTATTTTAATCAACGGTAATTGTACTATCAATGATGAGGTTTTGTTACAAGGAGATGTCAAAATAGCTGGTAAACAACAATCAACAATTCAGATTGGTAAATGCTGCTACTTGGGGACCGGTGCCAAGATCACACCGCCGGTTCTAAAACATGAGGAGGAAGAATCAATACATGGGCCATTGCTGATCGGAGGGTATACCATAATCGGTAAGAATTCGGTGGTGAGGCTGGCCAATATCGGAAGCAGGGTATTGGTGGAAGCGGAGTGCACTTTGGGGAACTTGTCGATAGTTTATGATTGTTGTTTGATTCGTAGAGGGACTATAATACCGCCCAAAATGGTTATACCACCATTTAGTGACGTGAGTGGGGTTCCTGGTATTGACTTTTGCATTAAAGATCTAAGTAATAGTTATAAAAAATTGATTGAAATAGAAGCGCGAGAGTTACAAGTTCTAGGATAGCATAATGTACATAACATGTGTATATCTTAGTCTTTCTTATCGAGGTTGCCTAATATTCCCAAGCCAGTTGTTGTCCTGGTGGCAGATTTTCTTTTCATGGCAAGATATTTTCTGAAACCAGTAACTAATGAGTATACAGCAATAACTAAGAAAAGATACCCAAAGAATCCGTGTCTGTGAACCCCATCCATAAACCTCAATTTATCACCATATGGACTGCCGACCAATTTGGAAGTTAATCTGACATCTCTTTCATGCACTTTGCCGAATAATAATTCTGGGTCTAATAAATATTGCAATACTGGTTTCAATTGAAATGGGTCATTGGTCAACTTTTTACCAAAAATGTTAGTGTCCCAGTACTTTCTATCATCTTTGGTCACGATAATTGCATCGCCGGGTTTGTAACTGGCCTTACTAATGTCCCATCCTTGTGTTTTAGCCAAGTTCGGATGATTGGAGACATCGATAAATGTGAAGACAACTTCGTGTGAGTCGAAGAAATGAGGAACTTTCCTTCTCATTTCTTTAATAACCTTGATACTATCAGCATTTTTTTGTTGCAAACGAGCTGCATTTTCAGCCTTGGTTTCTCTACGCTTCGTCATGTCATTGAAATAGTATTCTTTTTTCAAATAATAGTAATCATGGGCAATTAACGACATGTTGTAGAGTGCTTCGTTTGTACTTCTAGCGTCCTCAGAATTAATAAACGTAACTACTACCTTATCGGCAGCCGCCTCTTCTGCCTTAGAATTGAAATAATGTTCCATTAATTCGGGAGTCAATTCCTGGTATAATGGGAACTGATTCTTCTTAATAAATTCATCGATCTTATTATAATTTCTCATATCCTCAGGTGCAAAGTTTTGGTATATACTCGTGAATAACGTATTGTCTCTGTAAACCAATATAGTTGGTTTAGCTGTTAGGGTAGTAGCAAGATGCATTGCCTTGTTGAATTTTTTTGGCGGTGCATCGTCATCATAATTTATAAACTCTACTAGATTTTCTGCCTGGGTTACAACATTCTTCTCAAACTTTTTGTTTTTTGCTGTGTATAGGTAAACATTAAAAGGTGACTTCATTATATATTCCAATAAATATGGTAAAATAGCCCTATCCTCTTCTGTTACCGTTTCTTCTTCGTAATAAAAGACTACCGATATCTTATTATTTAAAGGATAATAAGATTTCAATGGTGCAAAGGGTAAGTTATTTCTATACTCCATTACCTCCGATAACGTGGCAGCAGATATTTTTTCGTATTGAGAGCTCTCGTATAACCGACTTGCAAAAGCTTTCAAGTCCGATAGTGTATAGGCCCCATCGTAATCAAATCTAATTATCCCAGTCTTCTCTGGCAAAAACATCGCAAATTTAGGGGGTCTTGGTCTTCCAGATCCAGTAGTCAAATCCTTGAAACCTAATTTTTCACAAATATTTGGGTTAGAACGACAATTAACATGGGCTGACTTAACCGTACTCAATATTTGATTTGATAATCTACCCCAGATTTGCTTGTATTCGTAACAATCGATACATGTGGATGGAAATAAATTTTTACTTTGATCATCACTCTCTTTCCATTGTTTATCATTTGAAGGGAAGAACGCTACAAAATGAGCTTGTTCGATATCGCCAGCAACAACCCTTAATAATTCATCTACAGTTAATAAATGTGATGAACTAGGCAAATTTATCGCACCCGAATCATATTCAGCGACAGCATTCTTCATATATTTCTTAAAATTGTCAGACGTTCTCATTAGTGACCTGGGAAATGAACCAACAAATCTCAGTTTGTCTGGAATTGGTTCTCCTGTAACCTTATCGGTATCTGGAACGTATAATCTTAAACTTGGAAAAGAATCAACATTTTCCTTGTCACATAAGTCACCACTCTCGATACAATTAACTTGTCTCATTTGAATATTTAATTCTTTCATCTCAGGATAAAACTCCTTATATGTAGCTTCCCATACTGGCGCTAATTGCTTACAATGAGAGCAGTAAGGTGAATAAAATTCAACAAAGGAAAGTTGGCCACTAGAAGATTGAGCAAAATCAGCTAATTTTAATTCTTCAGGTAATTCTACATCTGAAACCTCTACCTTTTGTTCGACATCCGCTTCCCCTTCTTCTTCTGAAGTAACACCCTCTTTTATCTTTTTACTTTCCAAGTCTGTGCTTGTTTCCTCTTCTACTTCCTTAATTGGTTTCTTGTTTTCCACGGCAACATCAATATCTGGTACAACGTCCTTCTCTATTTCTAATCTATCAACTACCAGCTCAAGTGATCCACTTTTTCCTATAACAGCTGGTTTCCCTAAAGCTGACGGTAATAGGGTGAAAAAAAGAGCAGCTCTAACAAAAGATAACTTCATAGCTAGGCCGTAATCTGGAAGAAGTGGTAATGTTTATGATCCAAGAATTTTCAAGTTTATGTCTGTGATCGCGCACTTTGTTGGAGTGTGATAAGCGAATACATAATGTACAGTTAATATACAATTTAAAATAAATAAAAACTTCTAAATAGATAACAAGTTGGTAATGATGCTAATAATATTGAATAAAATGCTATATGTCTATAGTTTCCCACTAACCTCTAATAAATAAGTTTTAAAGTATTCGAAACTAACCAATGTGACTGCACTCGCAGGTACCGTTCTAACTAAATTTATACCATAGCCCGCGTAAAAGCCTTTATAACCCTCTTTCTGGTATATTTTTATTATTGAACTAATTAACTTTCCTTTTTGCTTGTTAGAAGACTGTATCTGCATTCTTGTTCTGAGGATCTCATGGGGGTAGGTGATAGTACTTGCTATCATTTTGGAAACTGACGATGCTGCTATCAATCTCCCCAAGGTACTTTTTTGTTGATCAGCTGAAGCGGATTTCAAATCACACTCGAGCCACAATTTTAGCTTTTCATACACTGGAAAATGAATACCAACATGTAACAAGCCAAATAAAGATGGAATGAGCCCACTATAGAAGACTCTGATCCCTTCTTCTTTATACATGGTTCTAATTGCATCTAATGTGCCTTTGTAGTACGTTCTTTCGACCTTTGGTTGTGCAGCGGATTTGTTTTCAGCGTTTTTGTTATAAATTGTACTACCGGAGCCTGTCTGGATCATCAATCTAGTTTTCACAACCCAAATTGGATTAACCGCTATTGAAGATGTCATTCCCGCCGTCAAGGCCGAACAGAAATGGTTTAATGCATGAATATCTAAGTTGAAATGAGACCTCAAAAAATCTGGATAGAACAACTTAGCCCGCTCGTACACAGTAAAGTAAATAGTCCATGTAGGCAAATATCCAATCGTTATAGGAACTAACCCTCTGTACAACCCTCGAGGGCCTTCTTCTCGTAATATCGTTTTGAAGGCGCCTAGAAAGCCTCTATATTCCTTGCTTACCAAACTACCTGTGCTTTGAGCTAACGCCCCATGGGCCTGAAACCGCGTTTTAACAACATCCAACGGACATACCACCACTCCCGCTAAAAATCCCGACGCTGCCCCCGACATTGTCACCAACTGGTTTGCCGTGAACTTAGATAATATCTTGGATGGCAGGATTGCTTTACGCTGGTGTTCCTTATGCATTATTTGATATGTGCCGTCATCCGATGCCCGAAACTCCAAGTCTTCACCTTGCACTCGATCTGAAAAGTCCCTTTCTATTGGAGTGAGCGATAACTCCTCCAAATCTCGAGGATTCCTGTTAACCATGCGTATTATTAATTTGTATACAAGTCCCTATAGAAAGGGTTCAACGTCTATTTTTTGCTGTTTAATTCAACAAATCTTTCAACCGCTAGAAATTCTTGAATGAAGTACTTGGTACTCTATGTTGATAACTCAATAACTAACCTTTAAATGTCTAATTGTTGATCAGAAACGTCAGATTTCACTGAATAAAACCTTCTTCGCAATTTTGAAGTATAGACAGGTCGTGCGTGTTGCAAGTTGCAATACAACGGCACCGAATCCTTATATAACGAAGAATTGGGCTCAAACGGGGTCCGTTATAGTAGACTGGAACTCTGTGTTGATAAAGTTTTGTTGGAGGCCCCTACTGTTCTTTTTATCGGCGTCAATTTTTATAATTGGCCATATATGACTCAGAAAGCTTTAGTCTACGCCTGAATCAAGCAAATTGACAGATCTGAAAATAGGGGAATAAAAAAAAATCACGAAGTCACATAGGGCTAGCAAGAAATTAATATACTGATGTAGCACGATACTCCCATGTTATATCATATCAGAAGTATATAATATGTATAGGCGTACATATACATTAGATCTGCGATGAGTTAGAGCAATGATAATCGGTGAAATTTCGATCTTCGCACAAATAGATTTCCATAATGTAGAACTAGATACTCAATAAATGCCTGTGATAACGACAATTGTTTATGAATATACATCATGGTCAAGTATTTTTTGAAAGCATCAGCAGAATTGGATAATGTTACCGACTTGCAGCCAATAGACACGACAGAGAATCCATTTGAATACACATTTCACATTCAATGCACTTCGTGTAGACAAGTTCACGGAAAGCCAGTGACAATCAACAGGTTTGAAAAACACGAAATGGACGGATCCAGAGGGGAGGCTAGTTTTGTTTTCAGGTGTCGTGAATGTAAAGGCGAACATTCGGCTTCGATTACTAGAACTAAGGAGACAGTGACCATAGAGAAAACCGGTAAGTTCGTACCAATATTGGAAATCGATGCCAGAGGAGTCGAATTTGTCGAGTTTATCCCTGATGGTCAGTTCGAATGCCGTGGTGCTGAAACCACTACACGTTTCGATGATGTTGACTTGAGTGAGGGTGAATGGTACGACTACGACGAGAAGGCCAATGCCGAAGTCAGCATCATCGACGTCAAATGGGAAGTAGCTCGTTCTTGAATCATGCCACGTCCCAATTATCGCCTTGTATAGCTTTGCAATATATGTTCATTGTTGTTATTTTACGTGTAGTAGTATTACAAGTTGCAGGTCAAAACGGGTCAAAACGGGTCAAAACGGTATATGGCTCATTCGGCTTGATATGTCGGGATGGGAAAAATTGACCGACGGTGCGAGCGGACTTATGTGACTGATGCCTTCGTGCCTGTGACTTCCTTTTGTAAATAACCTTATAGATGAACATCTTTTGTATCCACGTATGCTATTATTATAGACTTATATATTCAAATATTTGCCCATTCTGTAACGTGTGCTATATTCTGAGAAAACAAGCTAAGTCAAAATATCCTGTCAAATGGGAACTGCTGGAAAAATGCAGTATTATGTACAATTGAATTACACCATCAACAAGAATAATCTCTCGTAGACAAATGATAATTGAAAAGCATATGCATCTAACTACCGACTTAGTCAGTACCTAAGGAACATTTCCATAAAAAAGCAAAATTATAACCTACAATGCTTGTGAACAAGTAGGTTGCAACAAGGGCTGTAAGAGCAAATTTGAGTTTACAATTTTAACAGCTATTTCCCAAGAATATGTAAAAATACGTATTTTATTTAGTATAACAATTGTCAGTAAAGCCCAATACGCCAGTAGTTTATTAGTTGGACCCAAGAATGTTGCATATTTGCGTCTTTAGTAGATTTGCTAAGCGACAGATCCGCACTGGTAGCAACTTTATCAGTGCCGATTGAAATATAAAATCCCAGGTGAATCTGCCTTTTTTTCAAGAGCTATTTCAAGTGGTTAATTCAAACATAGCAATACGAATATCTATAAAATGGGTAGTGATAATTTAGCTGAAGCAATCGTCCAGCCAGCAACTGATAAGCTTACGGAACTTTCTCACAAAATAGGAGGTTCAGGAAGTGGGGCAGAATCTGGCAAGAAAGGAGGAATCGAGTTATTCTCCAAAGAATACTATGCTGCTTGTACAGCTGGTGGTATTATTGCATGTGGTCCAACACATTCGGCGGTCACACCGTTAGATTTAGTGAAATGTCGTCGTCAAGTTGATTCTTCAATATACAAATCGAACATGCAAGGTTGGAGAACTATTTTAAAAACGAAAGGGGATTCGATATTTACTGGTATCGGTGCTACTTTCATTGGTTACTCATTACAAGGTGCCGGTAAGTACGGGTTTTATGAATATTTCAAGAAAACCTACGGTGATATTGTAGGACCTGACTTTTACAGCAAGTACAAGACGGGAGTATTTTTAGCAGCTTCATTCTCTGCAGAATTCTTAGCTGATATAGCTTTATGTCCATGGGAAACTATCAAGGTTAAGACTCAAACCACTATTCCACCATATGCTTCATCAGTTTGGGATGGATGGTCAAAGATCACCGCTACAGAAGGTATCGGAGGGTTATACAAGGGTTTGATTCCTTTATGGTTTAGACAGATTCCGTACACCATGGTTAAGTTTGCAAGTTTTGAAAAGACAGTTGAACAAATATACAAGTATTTGGGCAAAAAGCCTTCTGATTATACTCCAGTACAACAAACTGGTGTCTCATTCTTAGGGGGTTACATCGCTGGTATTTTTTGTGCTGTCATATCCCACCCTGCTGATGTGATGGTTTCTAAGATCAACGCTGACAAGAAGCCAACTGAAAGTGTTGGACAAGCCTTAGGTAGAATTTATAACAAGATAGGGTTTGCAGGTGTCTGGAACGGTTTGCCTGTCAGAATTGTAATGATTGGTACATTGACTGGTTTCCAATGGCTTATCTACGATTCTTTCAAGGTTTATGTTGGTTTACCTACTACTGGTGGACATTAATCTTGCTAGTCTTATCTATGTAGAAGTAGTATATATACTTTATATAACATATTCATTCCAATTGACTTACTGTAAGCTTATTTCAACTCCAAACGTTCTTGAATAAATCATCGTCTAAATTAGTACTATTTAGCGAGGTGGTTTTAGCTGGAGCTCCATAGGTACCAGAAGAACCGCTATTTGGCCATTGATTGTTCAAACTGGCAGTGGATCCATTAGAATCTGTCCATTCGTTATTCCAGTTACTAGTTTGTGCTTCCGGTCTAGCATATGATTGTTGAGAAGTTGATTGAGAAGCCAGTGATGTTCTTGACGGAATTGATGATACAGTATTGAAATTTGTTGATGTATTTGAATTATTAAAATCAAGCCCGCTTAATGAATTAGATAATGAGTTTACAGATGCTTGCATGTTAGGCTGAGTTTGTTGATTATGCTGTGGCTGAATGAAACTCGAACTAGATGATTTCGGAGAGGAGTATAATGATAAAATGGACTTTTTCAAATCCGGTCTAGTATTTGAAAAGGATCCTCCAGTAGATTGTGCTGATTGGATTCCTGGGACATCGTTTGTATTCTGGGTCGGCAATTTCTGTTGCGTAGTCGAGTTGCTCCTCTGCTGATTTGATTTCAAAGCGTTTGTGTTTCTCGTAGACGTTACTGGAGTACTTGCCTTGGGCGACGGGGAAGAAGTGAAAGAGCCAAAATCATCATCCAATAATGATCCGTGAGGCTCAGTTTTAGAACTATGACCAGATAAGAGATCTGCAGACCCCAAATCAGAATGCTTCGATTTATGTGATTCACTGGTGTGTTGCGAAGTAATCAATCCAGCATTTTGACCGCCAGACGCCTTAATAGATAATGGATTGGGAATCGTCGTCGACGAAGTCCATTTCTTCAAATCATACTTGGTACGAATAAAATTATCAATTTTCAGTTGGTCTGGGACATATCCATCCGGCAATTTCGATTCCCAGTATATGTTACATTTTTCATTTCCCCATTTGACCATCAGCTCAACCTGCTCGTCCGTCCACGCATCCAAATCAACTGATTTCACCTTGGAAATATGTGTGCCCATGCTTCTGTGAATGCCTGAACATCTTATACACATAAAACACCCGAGACTCCACGACGCCCATCTAGGATGTGTGGCTGTCTTACAATCAACACAAGTCTTATTTGCGTGCTCTTTCAATAATTGCTTTAAGATTTGTTTGTGTTTCTCTGAATGCGTCTTCCTTGAAGATGGCAAAATCGAAGACGATGACGATGAGTTCCTATTATAATAACTCATTTCTCTCGTGTCTCGTTTGATATAGTATACGTTGAAACCACTATTGGATACCTTAAGGACTGTTGTTGATCCTGTTCAGAATCCTGTTCTGGTGAAAAGTTACCAATATTGCACGTGACGTGACTATTTTTCAATTTCAGTCGTTTCTTTAAATTAGATGATATACGGCTAAAGTATTTCTAGTTATTGCGACGAATAGGGAGTTTTTGACAATTTTGTTTTATTAAAATTGATGGAAAGGGAAGGCAGATGATATGGCAGGTCGAAGGTATCAGGAAAAAGGCCAGGAGATGGGCAAACCTCACCAAACATTTACGCTAGACGAAATCAAAAGTCATGATAGTTCCGATGACTTATGGATGGTAATATATAATAAGGTATATGATGTTACGAGTTTTGCATCCAAGCATCCCGGAAGTGCTGAAATCCTTCTTGATTGTGGTGGAGTGGATGCTACAGAGGCTTTTGAAGATGTTGCACATTCGGATGATGCATTTCAAATGCTAAAGCCTTATTTTATAGGTGACTTAGCACCAGCATATTGTCGAAAATATAGTGCTTCGAGAAATCCATCGTCCAACATGAATTTTTCAAACAATACTCAAAAGAAAGAGGATATACCCAAGAAACAAGAGTGCCTATTCAAGCTCCCAGAT